GGAGAAGGGCTGTTAATATAGTCCAGTTTTTGCCCGGTGCGAGAAACCACAACCCGACTTTTTGCACAAATTTGCAGGCCGCAAAATATCCTTGGCAAGTTTTTGCAAAATCCTCGAACAGAATGAGGCATGAACCAATAAGGATTGAATTACCCTGGTTAGTTTAACAAACGGTCTTGCTAATATATTGAGACCGCGGATAGAATGATTTAATCTCTTTCTTAATTTTTTTTCTATTTTAGGAAATTCTTTGTGATAAATGCAGTACCTGATCTACATATTGTAAATACAGACTTACAGAGAGTTAAGGTAAGAAAATGAAAATGTTCAAAACGAACAAATGAGAAAATTTTACCGTTTTATTTTCAGAATGGAGCGCGAACCTGGTCAGAGTAGTTCCTCCCCAGACGTTGGACACGATGGGAGCCAGGGGGAGGGGGGGAAGGGGCGCGGTCGCCCTGCTAGGGGTGTAGACTTTCCTCTTCGTATACTTGTATCCAGTGATATGGTTGGAGCTATTATAGGACGGGGAGGAGCAACAATCAGAACCATTACTCAAGAAACCAGAGCAAGGGTTGATGTTCACAGGTCAGATAATATTAAATCATTTATAAGTCTGGTTTTTTATTAACAAAGGGTTAAATATTATCATGGAATTATTTTCTACCAAGAATTTCTGATCAATTTTTTTAATTACAAATTGTCGGCTCATATGCACTTTTATGGATAAATAGGAGTGAGAAGAATAGAATTACTATTTAAGATTTATATTTTTGGACAGTGCAGCATATTGATAAAAGTATATTTTTATTTTTTATATGAACTTTACAACATTTATTTTGCGTAAAGGAAAACAAATTGTTTAAATGCTTAAAGTATTCCTAGAAGAGATCTTTCCAGAGTTTTCCTAATTTTATTTAAATATCACGTTCAGGATGCTAACTTTTAGTCGTAGGAAAATGGAGCCCGCCACCGGTCAACTTGGACAGCTGGAAAAAGCTATCACCGTGTACGGTCAGCCTGAGAACTGCAGTGCTGCGTGTAAACGGATCCTGGAGGTGATGGAGGAGGAGGCGAAGAGTGTTGGGAAGGAGCAGGAGATTTGTCTCAAGGTTTTGGCGCACAATAATCTTATCGGAAGAATCATAGGAAAACAGGGCGCAACGATAAAGAAAATAATGGAGGCAAGTAATTTAGCATTTAAAAAATCCGCAATTCTGTGATTATTGGAAACGTGAAAATGACACTTTTCTTGTTTCAGGACACTAGTACAAAAATTACAGTGAGTTCAATATCTGACGTTTCCTCCTTTAACCAAGAACGTGTGATTAGTATCAGAGGAACTATACCCAGCATTTCTAAAGCTGAAGCAGAGGTGAATAAATTGTTTTACCGCCTTTTGGCCAACATTACCGACCCATGATTCCCCCAACGTTTAGTTACTTTTCGACCTTTGAGACAATTAAGTATAAAGTTTTTTTTTTTAAATCTCTCATTTTTATCTCGGATAGACGATAAAATTGTGTGGTACTACTTTTTCAAATTTTCGGGAATTTAAAAATTTTACTTAACCAATTTTGGTGTTTGGAACTCTTGATAAAGTAAAATTTCCTTAACTTCCCTGTAAAGTAGTTGTACATAAATATAATTAACTTTATAGTTATACTATTGGTACCAACAGGACCATAAGGAATCTGGTGATTGATTGTACAGAAGGGTCCATCGCCGACCATTATCACAATCATTATTATTATTAATATCGATTATTTAAACTATGGTTTGTAATTATTGCTCTGAAATACAGTATGAGAGCAGTATTTAGAAAACTATATGGGAAATAATTGTCTCTCCGTTCCTTTCTTCAAATTAAGAAAATGCGCTGAGGATTTTGTAATATTTTATGGTTTTATTGTAATTCCTCAGTGAAATGGCGTTTTATTCTACGAAATGCGCGCTGGCTCTGAATAACAATCATAATTTTTAGCTCAAAAACAGAAATAGTTCTTTGTCTATTTTATTTTCCGCTGTGCAGGTTTCCAGTAAGCTACGTGTTGCATATGAGACGGATCTGCAAGCTATGACTCCGCAATCTATGATGTTCCCAGGACTCCACCCCGCAGCTATGATGTCTACTGTTGGATTGGGAAACCAGCAACAATACAGAGGTTCCGGGTTCTCTGGAGCTAGTGGACCTCATGGAGTTAACTCCCGTCCTCCTAACCCTCCCCAGATACCGCCTGAAACCTGCTACCTCTACATACCAAATGCTGCGGTTGGTGCTGTCATAGGTATCAACATCGTTTTTTTACCGGGGAGTATATACTTCTAACCCCCCCCCCTCAGGGCGGGGGGGGGTAGAATTCAGCACAGGGAAGAAAATTCAAGGAAAAAGCGAGAAAAAAAAGTGGAAGAAAAAGAAAAAGGGGAGGAGGAAAGGAAAAAATATATTAACAGTATAAGAAACATAAAACATTATACTTTCCCTAGTTGCTTAAAGGAAGAAAAAAATCATGATTTCCCCTGAAAAAATATTTAAAAGTTTCCCCGATTGCCTATGGGGAAGAGAAATTAGAAAATTTAGAAACGTTTCCTATATTTCCCAATTGTATTCTAAGTTCTAATGGAAGAGAATTCTAAGAATCTTTAAGAACCGTTATTGTAGCGCAGGTATTAATTGCCTGGAGTTATAGACAGCTAAGTGTCAAACATGATTTTTCAAACTTTTTTTTAATTGTCATTATTTGTTATCTGCTATTTTCGGCTCACACAGGAAAAGTATCGTATTTTTTTCTTCAAAATCAAATTTTGCCCCCATTTAAAAAGCTTTAAGAATTTCAAAATAATCTTTCAGGGGACCTGGTTTTTGTCCTTTTTAGGGTACCAAAACACTCCATTGTACATTTGCAACCAACATACAAAAAATTTTCGCCGCAAGGGGGCGCTGCGCTGCACCCTCCCGCCCCCCGTCGCAGCAAACTTATTTTGTACTTTTCGCGGGCTTCGTCAAACTGTTAAAAAACCTGATGATTTGGTTGTGACTTAACACCCCTAGCCCGGGGTGTAAAATGTGTCAAGAATGACAAAATGACTGTAAATTAAAGATTAAAATTAAGTTAAGTTATCAATGCTTAATTACTTAAAATAAGGTTAAATACTTTATTTAGTGGAAATAACAGCTAGTTTAGTGATTAAAAGTCGAAAAAAGGTTTCCTTCGGGGAAGGAAATTCAAGACAATAATGCCGGGGGGGTGGGGACATTTCAACTTCTAGTAATAATATACTCCCCTGGTTTTTTATGATATAATATACTTTTAGTTATAGTGTTATTCAAATAAGTTCAAAACTTAAACTTGCACCGTTTATAGAACCTGTTGAATATTGAATCTAAACTTTTAAAATTAAAGAATTTTTGTTTTCAGGAACTAAAGGGAGTCATATTCGAAATATCATAAAATTTTCTGGATCTACCGTGAAAATATCTCCGGCAGATGAGGAGTCTGGTCCTCTCCCCCCTCTCCAAGAGGGACAGGGAGCTCCAGGTGCCGAGGACACCCGGAGGAAGGTTATTGTAGTTGGGAATCCTGAATCCCAGTGGAAGGCTCAGTATCTAATCTTCGAGAAGCTGAGAGATGAAGGGTTCTGCTCCGGAGTAGAGGATGTCAAGCTTACAGTGGAAATCATGGTTCCTTCAGCGCAGGTATTTTCAGAAAAATTAAATTCTAAATAAAGTCCCTCCCCCCCACACCTTCAAGTTTCAAGATGTAAATCGGAAGGGGGGGGGAGGAGAAGCTTATCGGAAATATTTCTAAATTATAAGTATATAAATATGTATGCAGGGATCCGGGCAAACATCTCTAATAAGCGGGGGGGGGGATTATGAGCTGGATCCTGGTTCATTGTTCCATAATGGATCCAGGATCCATATTAATCTGGAATGGATCCGTCACTAATAATTATGTCTATTGTCTAGGTTGGACGAATTATTGGTAAAGGAGGACAAAATGTCCGAGAGATGCAGAGACTGACTGGAGCTATTATTAAACTACCAGAACAGGTTCAGAAATAAATCTTATAATTATTTATAATTAATAACACTAAGCTACTCGTGTTTTTCCGGAATTAGGATCCGATGATCAGTAATACTCAAGAAGGGGTTGTTATTAACCATTTTCTTATTTTTATTTTGTTATTTCTAATTCCAGTTTAAAAAAATACATCTAGCTCTGTAAATTATTAAATTATGTAAAAAAGGCGACATTGATTTTAACGATTATAACTCATTTCATACATATTTATCATTTCGGTTTTTACGTTGTTATCGAAGCCTTCAACATATAAATTATTCATTCTTATATTTAATAGTTTTGTAAAAATTGGAACTTTCTATGCATGCTTCAATGAGACATTAAAATATTTCATTGGATTGAATTGAAGAATGATTCACTAGCCTTGATAACCTACGTCCGCAGTCCTTTAAAGAATTTGAAAATGATGTTTTATTTATGAAATGTTTGATTAGGGGACATCAACTGGAGAGGAAACCAGCGTTCATATCATCGGATCCTTCTACGCAACTCAGGTTAGAGCAAACACTATTCATTTGGTTTAATCTCGAATCTTAGAGGAATATAGGCAAGGAGTATGGAATATAAGGGAGAAGGAATCGACCCGGCCCGCCCTACCATATGATTATACATGCTTTGCAGACGGTACTCCATTTGAATACGAAATATTTGTCTGATGTACAAATACCGCGTATATGTATTCAGAGTAGGTTATTGTATACATTAAAAAGTGAAAAAAGTAGGCAGAATAACGCCAAACAAACACATTTTTTGGGATTCAAATATATTGGCAATACAAACGTATTTTTTTATGTAAAAAATCGGAGTACTGTCTGCAAATCATGTATAATCATATGGTAGGGCGGACCGGGTCGATTCCTTCTCTCTTATATCCCATACTCCTTGAATTTAGGTCATTAGGTTTAAATGGCGTTTTGCGTCCATATTTCTAGTAACATTTTTTGCTTTTTGTTGTTGATTTATGTAAAGTTTGTTAACATAATGAACAATCTTCAAATATTTATAAAATAAGCTTACCAATAGTTTATTTATAAAGAACTTTGTAATAATTGCATTTATCTTAGTCTGCTCAGAGGAGGATTCGAGCCATGGTTACTGGACCTCTCAATCAACCTCTACTACCTAATGGAGGAGGTAATCATGAACCTCCTCTACCCTGAGAACCTAAACCTTGAGGGAGGTGGAGCCCCCTGCTCCCCTGCCCTCCAGAAACTGTTCCAACCTCGGCCATTAAACCAGATTTTTAAAGCATCGTAAATATTTCTTGTTAAATTTTTCTTCCGAATCATCAGATTTTAATATGATAAATGGATTTTTCAAACTCCACATGATCCTGGGAAGAATTAAACGCATGCTTTCAACTGCATACGCATTCGAATGCACGTGACCTCATTGTGAGACTGAACCAAATCTGAACTGTGAAGAACCTACCAGGGGTTCAGCACTAGGATTAGATTGGATTATTGTACCTCGGCCCAAAGAATGATAAGACTGCCTCTCCTGCGATTGTAACCTAAAGACTGGAATCACCTTGTTATGTATAGCAAACTCAAAACCAGTTTCTTTTATCATGTTTACAAATCCTTCATATGTATACGACATGTTATGTAACTTTTTTATTTTCTTCAAAACCAGTTTCTTTTTTCATGTTTACAAATCCTTCATATGTATACGACATGTTATGTAACTTTTTTATTTTCTTCAAAAACCTAGTGGTAAATTAAAAAAAACTTTTTTAATAAAATATTTGTAAAGTTTGAACTGTGTCAGAATTTGTAATAGTTTTAAGTTTATTATTGTGGAATATGGGTGTGCGCTGTACAAATAAAATAACCCTTCAATAAAAATCCAATAAGTAATAATTTTATAATAATTTAACCATTATTTTAATCATAGCTTAGTTTACGGAATAAAAAAGTTTAAGTACAGTTCACCCACGTTCAAAGCACGTTTGATTTAATAATAGTTTATCAGCGAATCTATTTGTCATTTAATTACGATACAAGTGCTAGATAATTTAAAGGAAACTTGGATTTTTTAATAGTAATAATCTGAAAAAGTTTCTTCGTTTTATAAACATTATCAATATTCAGAGTTATATAGTTTACCACCAACCCTTCAGTTTTCACGAACTAGAATTTCTCATCTCTCTTAATACTTTTTGGTCAATTTTAAACTTTTCTCTGTTTTCTCAAACCTCCCAACCATCCTTTTTTTTAAATAAACTGTTAAACAATCTGAAGGGTTGGCCAATATGCCATATGTATCAATAAGTTAAATAGTATTGGTGTTTGTTCTTGTTTAAAATTAATCTGTTCTGGTTTAAGAGGCCGGGCGACGGGTTGCCTCCGGGCGCGGTTCATATTTAAGAAAAATTTTGATGCTTGCTATGATTATTTTTGCTACGAAGGATTATTTGAAATAAAAAGTAAAAATATTTGTTTTATTATATTTGAGAATTTAGTCATTGAACTTTTCTCTCTTTTGTTAAAATAGGTCATTACTCTTTTCAAATTGATTTAAGGGTTAGGATTTGAGCGCTGAGCTTCCCCCCCCCCCCCCNACATTATGATTAACTATTTTCTTGACCCTTAACAGAATTTAAAAGAAATTTTTATTAACCAGAGAAAATTTTACATTGTATTTGCAACTTTTTTATAATTATATATATAAGCATTTCATTTCTTTAAGCAGAAAATGTAATGGGGAAATGTACATCAATTGTTCTCTGCATTTTTGATTAATTTTTAAAATGACTAACAAAACTCCCCTCTACTTTGAATGGTACATGTTGACCTTCATGTCAATTCTTTAGGTCCATGTACATTGCACAATGATTACAATTTCCAATTTCCTTCTACACATTGTCCATCAGTATCCATAACCTTTCTGCGGCGGTGTCATCAAGTCTTCTCCAACTTCAGTACTGTTCCGTTCATTCCCCTCTGTGACAGTTTACACAACTTTAACCAAAAATCTTAAAAGCTGTAAGTACGTGATATCTATTTATATCACTGAGAGAATATTTACAGTGTAATTTTGCTATTTTGCAGAATGTCTCAATACTGGGGCGGATGCAGCTCTTTGAAAAGAGGGGGTGCAGGGGGTTGGAGTCTCTCGCAAATTTGTTTAAGGAATTAGCATTGAGAGTGAGCATTTTTAGTGCTGAAAACAAAAAACATAGGAATTCAGTGACGAATTGGATATCGCCTTTGTTATGAATTAGCATTGTAATACCTAATTTCAAACCCATAATATTATTATGTCTGCTAGAGTTTATTTTATGAAAACGGTAAATGGCTCCGCAAGATCAACAGTGAAGACTTATACTGTGTATACTGCAATTTCTTGTTTTACTAAATACAAGTACAACCGTATGCAGTCAAAACATGAAAAAACAAAATGTGAACACAGCAAACGAAACTTATACAGATTACAGCTTTCTCAGTAGGTATAACTATACTAAATCCAAGAACTTAAAAAGACGATATCGAATTCGTCACTGAATTCCCATGTTTATTGGGACACCCTGTATTAAATATCTGTTAAAAATTTTCATTTTCATTTGCGCAGGGTGACCTAAAAAACGGATTAGCGTTTCAAGGCCCAAACAATCTTTTGAAATTACTCAAAAAAGTGTCCTTCTAGTATATAGCTTTTAATTTTGGAAGGGGTCGTTTATGTAACATTTTGGCGTTCGATGCTTCCATTTGGCGGAAAACTGTTAATAATTTTAAAACACCTATCTGTTAACTTTAAACAATTAATAATTTTAATTATTCTATTCAAATCTGTATTGCAGATGCAGAGAGCGAACAACTTAACAATGCTTAGAAATCATAATAATGAATACTTATTTAGCTTAAGTTAACAGAAAGATTTTCAAATATTATTCGACATAGTTTTATACAAAATGAAAGGATCGGACGACAAAAACTAACCTAAAGGGACTGTTAAGGAAAAATGAAATGGGGTACAGGGGCGTACGAGGGGGGGTGTTTCCAAAATTGTATATATATATATATATATGTATATATATGAATTTTCGTATAAATTTGACACAGTTTTACATCAATTTCTGGAGGCAGGAACATCGGATAGATGTCTTATATGTATCGTTCAACGCCTGAGATTTCAGGTTTTATTCTATACCCCCTTTCATTTTTCCTTTTCAGTCCCTTCAAACGACCGTATTAAAGACTGAAAACTTAGGCACATTTTTGAGTAATTTCAAAAGATTAAAGGGACTAAATAAATCCTAATCCCTGCTTTTTTGGGTCACCTTCTAAATAGTGTCTTTTTACCATTTCTGATTTTTGTAAAAATTGTATTTTTAAAACATGGCAATTAGAATTCCAAGTAGAATACAATTTTCCTTCTGTAAAATGTCACAAAATTGCACACCCCTATTATCGATGATTTCGTTTTGGTGTCGCTGTAATGTTACTAAAAACCTACAAATCTATCAGATTGATGAAAAGTAAAATTTTCATGATTTATCAATGAATTATGCAATGAATGACCCTCTGAGGGAACACAACACATAAGTTATATTTACTCATTCAAAAAATTTGAAGGTCCTTCCCCGGAGAATAGGCTGATTTGAGAAAATTATTAGTTTTGTTAAGCACCTTAAAGTATCTGGTAAACAGTTACAGTAAACGCTTAATTTTGTCTCTAGAAAGGGGGGGTTATTCGATCCCTTGACACCCCCCCCCCCCACCTATATCCACGCCTGAACCTGGCCATATTTAATCTTGACTTTATATCCAGGGTTGTTCCACCGTCCTTACTAATCTGTACTACTTCTTTGATCTGTGTTAACATTTGTTATTCTCATGACTTCAAAGCTGAAAACTTTAGAATGGTGGATATTGAGATCAATGCTTGATCTTCTATTTTTCTTAATCTGCAGATTAAATAAAGCTTGTTCTCCTCTTCTTCCTAATCTCCTGATGAAATAACCGAACGGGATTAAGGATATCCCATTCTGTTTTCAGCTTTGTTTCCTTAATGTTTACATGAAATCCATGCTTTAGCTGACTCTGCAGAGACCTATTTAGACCTGGTGGAGCAAAGTGTCGCCACCTTACCAGCACAAATAGTTTTTGTAGCCCTGGATTCAAAGTCAACGCAATTTTTGCACAATTCTGACTTCAGAATATGCAAGTTTTAGTTTTAATTACACTACTTCAGTAGGAAAGAACAAGTTTAAAGAGTTTTTTATAAAAACCAATAAATTAACAGTAAATATGAATCACAGACGGTTTGGATCTTCCTGCACCCAATGCATGGAGGGTTGTAAATTGTAACGGATATTTACAATTTAATTTAATATTTGATCACTCTAAATTGTAAGTTTTGTCATAGTTTGTATAGATACTTCTAAAAAGATGAGATTTCCTCTGAATCTTTTTAAATCTAATTTAAAAGAAATATTTTCTGAAAAAAACAAAAAAAATTATCTCTTTGAATTGTAATTCTCAGCCATAGTATAAATTCTTTTTCCTTCAAGTTGTACTGTTTGAAATTATTATTATGAGATATTGTTATAGAGTTGTTTGGAATATTTGGTTCATAAAAATTATTGTCGGGTAATTGAAATATCAGAATGTACTCTTTAAAACAGAAACATTACTAACATTTTTTTTGATACTTTGTTAAATATGTTAATAATGTTTTTCTTGTATTTAATTTTCCTGTTTAGTAATAGAAATTTTTATCTTATCTTTCTTTTCATTTTTAATTTGCTCAACATTTTGTTACTACAGTGATAACCAGAAAACTCAAATTATGACTTTAGTTAGTCCAATAAGCACGGGAAACAGAAGTATAAAAAGACCCAATTCACTTGATTTGAGATTTAATAAGTGTCTAGTAAAACTTTTTGCTTTCTAACAACATAAAAAACATAATTGTATTGCTACAAAGTCGTCTTGCTATTTCGGAGTTTTCTGGTTATGACTATATTTCAAAACTGAGCTGAGAATTTTAAAAGTAAAGTCTGAACTTGCCAAGACTCGAGCCTTTGTTACGCCCAGTTCTTTCCCTGAGTCTAACGTTAGATCCAATAATTCTTATTGGTTGAACAGAATAAGGTTTCGGAAAATTATAGTTGAGGAGTCAACTCCTTAGATTTAAAATTTAGAAAATTTGAACTTTACATAAATTCACGGTTTTCAAGTCAACGAAAACCAGTTCTAGCGTGATCCATAGTAATGGAGCCAGTGCTCCCTGTTTTATAAAAGAAAATATTTTTTAATCGTATTACTAAGGTGAAATGTTGGATGTGTATCAGCCTTGCCACAATACAGCCTGCAATACATGTAGTATTCATAAATAATTTTTTTGTAAATTTTTTTTTAATCTTTATTTTCAAAGCTAAATATGTTTATATGTAAATTAACACGTTTCAATTTTATTCTATCCTATTATAAAGCTTGGTAACTAACCACCACTACCCTAGGATGATCATTTTAGGTATTTTATCTAATAGTTCAAAGGAGTTTTTTGGGTGAGGATTTTTCTTGCCTGGTTCATTGGATCCATAATATAACAGATTCTAGATTCAAAATAGAACTGGGATGTATATATGTATAGCAGTAACCCATCCACAGGCTGACGATGAAGAAATCCTATATGGCCAACTACAAAAGTAAAACATATTTAAAATTTAATAGATTAAACTAATTTGATACAAAAATGATTTCCAAGATTTTAAATGTTCTGGTATAAAAGTTTTAACTAAATTTAAAATCTAAAATCATAAAAACCGATTAAATCGGTCTTCACTAAAACCAAGTCTAGCAAAAAGTCAAGTCTTATTCCAATAGAAAATGGAGAGAAACATTAGAGATGTGGCTAGGAGACATCCCCCCCCCCCCCCATTTAATTCAGCCTGACAGAAAATACATTGGAAATATGTGTTTGTTTGGAATTATGTGTTTGATTGGAGATGAATCACCAAGTTGAATTCAGTTGCTGACACATCTAATGTGTGCAACGTAGAAATGGGTTCACTTGGTTCTAAAGTTTGCAGCAAAACTGCAAGGATGTCTTAACAAATCTTTTTATTTTAAATTAGCCGAAATTTGATTGAAAGATGTACGAACAAGAAGAAAATGAAGAACAAGAAATATAGAAAAGTCAAAATGTTTACATCTGATATCATATTACAATTTAAAGAATATTGTAAAAAAAATAAAATCTAAAAATAAAAATAGAAATGTAAAAAAATATAAATGATTATAATATTGAAAACTAATTATTTTCAATTGTGATTTGCCATAAAAGTGACTTTCGCATTTCAACTACAAGAAAAAATATAGGAATTATCAGAATTAAACACCTAAATAAGATTAGATTCAGGATTTATCTATAGTTGGGATATTTTAGGAGCAATCAGATATCATGAAATAAATATTTTAGATGAACTTATTTTTTAAGAGGACCCTCTGCAATCTTATCCAAAGAGGTATAAGCGTAGTAAACTTAAAGGAATGAGATTTCCATGCAACCAATGTGAATATACTTTTTAACCACAGTGAAGCTTTTCAGAGGTTATATTAGCATTTAACATAAAAAGATGGATATTAATGTGATCTATGTAAATACACTGCAACAACAGCAGGAATTCAACAATTCAAGTAAAACTGAATCAGGGTATCCCAATAAACATAGGAATTAAGTAACGTATTCTATATCGTCTTTGTTCCGCGTGGCATTATTGCGTTAACACAATTTTTGTATTAACCAAATTAAAACAACTGGTCTTGAGAATTCCAAAATGTGGTTTACCATTTTTGCCCCCTGAAAATTTACAGAGATATTAAGAAATCTGTCCAGATTCAAAATTATTAAATACCTTCGAAATCTTACAAATGCTTAATATTTCCGTCAATTTTAAAGATACAAAAGAAACAAACCACATTTTCGAAAGCTTTTAAGTCGAATGGTCTTTATTTTGAGACACAGTCTTTGTCATTTATCATCATATCTGAAATCAAAGACAAATTTCAAGTCGTCTTTTAATTCTCATGTTTATTGGGACACCCTGTAGAAACAGTGATATTCAGCAGCAACCAGACCATACTATCTAAAGATACACATCAGAAGTAAGCCAGCATGCGAACCTCAATCTGAAGAGTTAACATTAGGCTAAAATTTAATATAATCTCCAGTTGCAAAATTAACTGTTTCTGTACCCTACTACAGTATGATTACCTATTTTCTGTACCCTACTACAGTATGATTAACTTTTTTCTGTACCCNTACAGTATGATTAACTATTACTGTACCAAAGTTTGACTTTAGAAATCCACTATAACATGTATTTAAAAATCCGTAAATTAAGTTTTTTCTATTCATTTTTACAGAAAATTTTAATATATTAAAAAAAATATTATTTCACATCCAATCCATACAAGCACACCAGCAACGATCAGCTTATAAAGATGGCTCGCCGTACCAGGAAGAAAGCTGAATTATGTGTCAAAGTTGATGGTGGCTACTTCAAACATTTGGTACATAAAGTTAATATTTAGTGGTTTTTTGTAAATGTTCTATTGTATACAGAATAAAAATGTAAAAAAGTTCATGTATTTATTGATTTTTCATTTCTGAAATCAATCTTTGTTACGGTAATACTTTAATTTTATCATATACATATCTCAACCAAATTTTCATAGTACTTAATCATAATAAAATATTTATAATTGGTTTTAGTGAATTTATGTTCCCTTCTCTTAGATGAAATATTCATGCAGTTTTATCTATTTATACAACTGCCTTCTATATATAAATTTGGCTTGTCTGTTTGTTTGTCTGTCTGTCTGTTTGTATTCAATAAACGTCAAAACGGCTGAACCGATCGGGCCCAAATTTTTTGTGGGACATCACGTGACCACAGGGAAGGTTTTTGAATGATAAAAATTTTAAAAAAATGTGTTTTAAAGGTTTTTTAATTTCGTAAAAAAAATTAAAATTCTTGAAAATCCGCGATTTTTTTTTAAATCCGCAAAATTTTTTTCTTCTTTGTTTTTAAATGTAAACAAAAAGAACATGTTCACAATTTAAATAGAAGATGGGCGCGAAGCGCCCTAAAAGCCTATAAGTGTGTTATATTACGGAACATTTTATATTTATAAAATTTAAGCCTTTTAACCTGAAACAAACTAAATTAAGTAAAAATCCCGGCAAAAATATAATTTCCTAAATTAAACACAAGGTAGTTGCTTATATAATTTTATTCCATTCTAAACCAAAGAAAACTCTAAAATCCGCAAAATTTAGTAAAACATCCAATAATTTCTCATAATGTCCCAGGATAATTATGAGAAATTATATCCCAGAAGATTGTCAAATTACAGGATATTAATTCTCTCAAAATGGAATAAAAATTATTATTATTTCCAACAAAAATATTAATTTTTCAAAAATTTTAAGAAGTCGAAAATATTTACCTAAACTTAATTTTAAAGGATGGCGACATTTAAGAGAATATATACCTTTTCTTGCGTTTTCCTCACTTATACAATTTCAGGCCCGTCACCAGGGGGGGGGGGTTGCATGTAGTCAGGTGCACCCCCCTTCCTCCTAAAAGGGGGGGTGCAATGACGAAGTTGCACCCCACCTTATTTTTGATAAGTTCCTTGGTATATAAAGATTTTTTATCATCAAGTATACTATATTGTGTGTATGCTATCTGTCTAAACAATTCTTTACTAAAGCTGTTCCCTCAGACCAACCAAATTAAACCTTCTTTGAAAAATATTTGTCCTGAGGTAAGATTTTTAGAGTGAACTGGTTTCTTGTTTCTTTCGCAAATGTAATGTAACAAATATGTTTCCAGTATGTATCTAAAATTCAATTTTGCAGAAACATTGCCATAGTTTCAATATTTTGTCCACACAATTAAAAATCAGTGATCGTGAGTAGTAATATCTAAATTATCAATATTTCCTGTCTTCCAATATTGAATCAGTAAAACCCAAATTATGAAAATTTTCCATCAAATTCAGGGTAAATCGAATTTTCACTGTAACAGTAGGTTCAAGCTTAAATTACTAGTTAACAAAATAGAAAATAACCTTCAGAACATAAAATTCAAGCTAAAATTACTCGTTTTTGTAACTAAATTCTGAAAATTTTCTGGTTACAGGCTTGTACAATTTTTAATGATGTAATCTAATAATTTCCAATGTCTCTAACACCATGTCTTAACGGCTTAAGCTGAATAAATTAAACAGGGGCATGACATACTTAGTATACAAGTAGAGGGAAATTGTAGAATGTAGAGGTCCGTAAAGAATTGACAAAAAGGTCAACCTGTATCTTTTAGAGGGAGATTTTATAGAGACCATTTTAGTTATGAATCAAAAGAACGGTGAATGTACTTGTTCTCAATGTAAATTCTGCTTCAGGGAATGAATTGCTCAGATTATAAATTATTAATTGTAAAGACGACCGAAAACTCTTAAAATGCGACGATCCAATGACTAAAATAAGTATTTTGCCTTAGATACAGTAGTCTAATAAGAAACAAGTTTGTAGTTGCATGGAATCGTGAAGGAAACAGACAGTGTAAACTCTGTACAATCGTCTCTGAAGTCTCATCCTTTGTGGGTAACCCTGTACATACATACAGGGTGTCCCAATAAACATGGGAATTCAGTGACGAATTCGATATCGTCTTTTTAAATAATTCTTTGATTTAGTATAGTGATACCTACTGAGAAAGCTGTACTATGTAAGATTTTCGTCTGCTATATTCACATTTTGTTTGTTTATGTTTTGACTGCATACAGTTGTACTTAGTAAAACAAGAAAATTGCAGTATACAAACAGAGTAAACTTGACCGTCTCCACTGTTCATCTTGCGGAGACATTATAAACACATCTTTACAGCTATTTACCCTTATCATAAAATAAACTCTAGCAGACATAATAATATTATGGCTTTTGAAATTAGGTATAACCTGGATCCTCTGCGTCGTTGATAAATGTCGTCTTAATAATTCTAATCGGGAAAAGTCTAATATTTATTCTATTTATGAAGGTAACAGATCAACACATTTTCAACCCCTCTGATAATTTTCTTATTACAAATAATTAGGTTTGCTGTTCATCTGTCAGAAGGCAGTGTATTAAAATAGAGTACAAGATAAACATTGGTTTTCTCAAACGAAAATGTGTCATTTACTCTCAGAAAAATCAATGGAAATTTAAACCTCCAAGGGATTCAATGATAATAATGATAATAATTTCATTGATTATATTTTTTTTAGGATAAATGACATTCCTTTGTTGAGCTGTTTTTAACATTTTTTTTAAGCTGTTTTTAATTAGATTAGCGTTCTATGAAGGCTTTTTAAAAAAAAGCTGTAGTTAAATTTTTGAATTTTTTCAACATTCTATCTTGGGAATTTTCTGACGAGTGATAGCATAATATCATTTACAATTTAATACTAATATTACAACAATATTGACGAAATTTTGGCTTGATATATTTTGTACAATTTACACATTGTTTATATTAATCTATACTATTATGATACATAAATTTCTCAACTCTGTGACTAGACCATCTACAACGAGATATATGCAGGAAAAAATGAGATATACAAAATTGTAATCATAGAATATCATTGAAGGTCTAACCTTTCTCCGGGTTTTTAAGGTTACCTTAAAATATGCGACTCTGATAACGACCTGGAACTTTTTTAAATATTATGATCTAAAGCTTTGATTCTTCTGAAATTAATGCGTGCTTGGTAATTCTACATGAATAATGTAGCCAATGAAGTCAAAAAAATGTGAATCTAAAACGAATTTATAAAATATTTTCCCTCTTCTTTAAAGTCTCATTCTTAAAAGACAATCCTAAACCCGAATTTGCATTCCACCCTGCAATGTCTAATGTTTACATTTCAAAAGTAGGACAGGGGTTTTTTTAATTTCAAAATTCTTCTTTAAATATTATAAATGCACACCATAAGGCAATAATGTAGAAAATATGTAAATAACCATATATAATGCAGAATTATTCTGAAAGTTACGTGGAAAATTGAAAGCAAGCCAAAACTCTTAAAATTGTGTAATACTGCAAATTTATCTTCCGATTCAAAAATCATGACTTTTTTCCAATGACTCATATACTATGTTTTCTGTGAGTTTTTTATATTTTTATTCAAATCTATTTTGTATGAAATCCTTTAAGAATAAAAAGGACCTAATACTGGACTGAATTAAGGTAAAGTACTTATTGTACCCATTTTTAGATTTTAAAACGTTTATCATGACTTGGTGAATTCTTCAAAAGGCAAGTTACGTTTCCTTAAATGCATAAATGACAAGACCTTTACGAGGAACTTTCACGATTATCACTTTGTATATCTCACTCATTTATACATATTATAAATATACTCTTAATTAATTAGCAATTACTATTTATAGTTAAATTATGCACCGGATATTCAGATTAGAGAAGGCGTTTTATTACTTGAAACTTTTACCTTTCTTTATATTTTAGATAAGCTTGAAAAAAGCTGAATTCCCGTTTTTTTACTTTGCAAGGATTTCAGTTTGTCTTCAAAGGCGTATACACTACATGGGGGGGGGGTCCATTTTTTTCCAGTGCGGATCCAGGATCCGGATCCGCATCAAAATTAAATGGATCCTAAGCACTGGCCCCCCTTTTCACTTTTAACCGCTAGAGATATCATTTTCCTCAATTAAAACTAAAAAACAATAAAGAAATTCCGCATATTTAACAATTTTCCCCCTCCCAATAATTTCAAAGGTGGGGGGGGGGGGGGGGTCGCGCAAATTTTGTCGTTCTAGTTCTCATCCCGTATACATCCCATATACATTCTTGTTCTTTTCATTGATATAATTCATTAACATCAAGCTTGAAAGTGATAAATGAGGATAGCACGTTTTTTGGACGAAATGTATGAATCAATGCAGTTCTATGAGTTCTATAGATGTTTATATAAATCCAAGAAAAGGTTCAGGAATTGTTTGAGACGGTTTAATGCCAGCAAAGCACTGATGTAACAATTATCTTAAATCTGTACTGCATTAAATCCAGTACTTTTCTTATCCAGGCGTTAGCTGAACTAATTCTATTGGTTAGATTTAATCTTACACGGCTTGAAGTTGGATTCCTCCATTCTTACTCTTCACACTGCAGCATATTTAAACATTTAGTTATATCTCTCATGTTGTTCAGTGTTTAAGTTATATTTAGTTATATTTCTCATGTTGTTTAGTGTTTAAGGATCCGACATATCCTTGTTCCTGTATCCAAGCTATATTTCTCATGTTGTTTAGTGTTTAAGGATCCGACATATCCTTGTTCCTGTATCCAAGCTATATTTCTCATGTTGTTTAGTGTTTAAGGATCCGACATATCCTTGTTCCTGTATCCAAGCTATATTTCTCATGTTGTTCAGTGTTTAAGGATCCGACATATCCTTGTTCCTGTATCCAAGCTTCTTCGCTAAATCATGAAACACGTCCTGAAAACATCTGATTAATTTTAAACATCAATTTTTAAAAGAATATCGATTTTAAACATCAATATTTGAAATAATGCCTATTTTATATATCAATATTTGAAAGAATACCTAATTTAGATATATATATATTTGAAAGGATACCCATTTTAAACATCAATATTTGAAAGGATACCCATTTTAAACATCAATATTAGAAAGAATATCCATTTTAAACATCAATATTTGAAAGGATACCCATTTTAAACATCAATATTTGAAAGAATATCCATTCTAAACATCAATATTTGAAAGAATACCCATTTTAATCATCAAGATTTAAAAGAATATCCATTTTAAACATCAATATTAGAAAGAATATCCATTTTAAACATCAATATTAGAAAGAATATCCATTTTAAATATCAATATTAATGAAAGAATACCCATTTTAAATATCAATATTAATGAAAGAATATCCATTTTAAACATCAATATTAGAAAGAATATCCATTTTAAACATCAATATTAGAAAGAATATCCATTTTAAACATCAATATTAGATAGAATATCCATTTTAAACATCAGTATTAGAAAGAATATCCATTTTAAATATCAATATTAATGAAAGAATACCCATTTTAAATATCAATATTAGAAAGAATATCCATTTTAAACATCAATATTAGAAAGAATATCCATTTTAAATATCAATATTAGAAAGAATATCCATTTTAAACATCAATATTAGAAAGAATATCCATTTTAAAAAGCAATATTAATGAAAGAATACCCATTTTAGATATCAATATTAATGAAAAAATATCCATTTTTAACATCAAGATTCAAAAGAATATCCATTTTAAACATCAATATTAGAAAGAATACCCATTTTAAATATCAATATTAATGAAAGAATACCCCTTTTAAACATAAAGATTTGAAAACTACCCATTTTAAACATCAAGATTTGAAAATTACAGGTTTGAAACTTCCGTGACTGATGTCAGAAATTATTCTGTCTTTTTTAATATTTCCCGTAACTTGTTCATATTTTTTTACACAGTATTTGGTCGTCAATAAAGTTGCATTATTTGTGGGTAATCTTGTATAAACATGTGTATAATATAAGAACAGTAGTTAGTAATCTTTTGGGGTGTTTCTTTGTTTGTATGTCCGATAGTAACTCAGAAACCCCTTGACCGATTTGCCTCAAATTTTGTTTGGGAAATCGATAGAGCCGCGGAATGTTTTTAGCTTGGTTTGAAAGTAAAGTAGGATGACCTTTTTTAGTTTCCAGGCACAATAGGGTTTCAAAGCTAGTTTATTGATAAATTATTATTATTGATACCTTGAAAACCATATGATCAATATTCTGTCCTAGAAGGTAGAGAAGAAACCAATCTCCGACAGCTGTTTTCTCCATGATAATTTCAACACACTCAGGTTTAACTCTCCGGTATCTATTTACATATTTATTTACCTTTTAAAATATTTATTACAGTGAATCCCAGATATATGAATACATAAGTTTTAAAATATTTATTACAGTGAATCCCAGATATATGAATACATAAGTTTTTTGATAATTCTAAAGAAACTTCTATTTATTTTTAATTCAAGATAAATTAATAGCCCTGAAATATGAATGCAATTGATATATTAATTTCAAACTCATTTTTCCGCGGCATCTGATCTTAAATATGTTGAGAATACGACATTATAAAAAACTCTTGCTATGTATTCATATATCTGGGATTCACTGTAGCATAAATATATCTCGGATAGGCTTTTCAGCTTCTCCCGTTGTTGACAGAATTGCATGGTATCATACATGTATCTCTTACTTTTCGTTCTTCATTTTTAAGTTTTTGGCAAACAGAGTTTTAAACGAATCCCTCAATTTGAATCATCTATTTAACATATAAACATGAGATTAAAACACAAGAAATTCAAAAAATAGCTGATAATATTTATCAACATTCTCTGTTGCAAATAGGACGCACTATTGACATGAACAGTGTTTTTAATAGTTTTAGTTAGTTTTAATTTTTTGCATATATTTGCAAATTGTTTATTCAAAACATTTACTTGATGTTGACCTTAAGAAAAGAGCAAAAAAACATTGCAAAGTTCAATAAAATCAAACTCTATTATGAAAACATTTTTGAAATGTTGGAAGATTTATTAAAAGTTTTAAAAACTAATTAAAAAGATTAAAAACACATATTCACACGGATATATCGCAGCCTTGCTTGCCGATTGCTTAACAACATCCGCAACCCACTTCTCAGTCTTGAAATTTTCAAACGATCGACTTCTAAGGGAAATAAAGGAAGAAATCTATTTAATTAAGTATTCACGACGTTGAAGCTCCAAAGATAATAGAAAATTGTACACCGAAAAAATATTTATTTTAGTTACACTACTTATGCTGAGAAAAATCCAAAAAAAAGTTTGCAAATTGTTAATTCAAAACATTTGCTTGTCTTAAAGTATGCCAAATGTTGACCTTAAGAAAAGAGCAAAAAAACATTGCAAAGTTCAATAAAATCAAACTCTATTATGAAAACATTTTTGAAATGTTGGAAGATTTATTAAAAGTTTTAAAAACTAATTAAAAAGATTAAAAACACATATTCACACGGATATATCGCAGCCTTGCTTGCCGATTGCTTAACAACATCCGCAACCCACTTCTCAGTCTTGAAATTTTCAAACGATCGACTTCTAAGGGAAATAAAGGAAGAAATCTATTTAATTAAGTATTCACGACGTTGAAGCTCCAAAGATAATAGAAAATTGTACACCGAAAAAATATTTATTTTAGTTACACTACTTATGCTGAGAAAAATCCAAAAAAAGTTTTGGGTTTTCATCATTCGTTTTTTTTAAACTGCATAGTGTACTGTATTTAATTGTTGAATCAAATAATATATTATTACAGTTTACAACAGTTTATAACAGTTTACAGTTTACAGTTTTATTGCTCAAAAATCTTTTAAATATAAAAAACTAAAAGTTATTCATTTTATTCTTTGTAGTTATAAACCTCTCTTTGTATATCTTCATATAAATGTAAATCAATTTGTTTCCGCAATAACGAGTTGTATATGTATATTTTTATATATGTATTGTATATATGTAAATCTATGTATTATATATGTTGAATAATGTTTAATCTCGAAAGTAAGAAATAAATCTAGAATATTTATAGTTTCAGCAACTTGGTAAATAATTCTCTTATTTATTCCTAATTTATAATCCTTTTCAGCCCCATTCTTAATCTTCATATAGAATATTAATGAAACTCAGGACTGAGTTTAATGTTTAAGTTTGAAGTTAAAGTTTATAAAAGAATTGTGTTGTGTTCCCTCGAATCGTCCAGATGCATCCAGATTCCAGAAAACAACTTTTTCGGATGTTTGTGTTTACATTCTTTATTGGAACAAATATGAATATAGGGGGGGGGGGGGCACGGTGATTTAACAGTTCGGTTGGTGTCCCAACAAGCTTTATGTTCAGATCACAAACTGACATATCGAACAAACTTTTTCTTTCTTTTTTCTCTTTTATACTGTTTTTTTTCTATCGTAAAAAACACAACTCCGTATGGCAAATAAGTATTTCCTACAAAAATAAAATTTTCTCTTTCGTATATCTTTGCAACCTTATGGTGTAAGCCTTTTATATTTGAAATCTATAATATTTGATCTAACAGAATTTATAGTTTGAAATATCTAAGGTCTACAACTTAAAATTGGTTTGAAAAGATATAGGGAGTAGAAAATCAGAGTCTGTGGCAAAGACTCAAATCCTTTGAATTCAAAAGAAAAACACCAGGTTCATTCGAAATTCGAATGAACCTTCGAAATGACATTGACATGGTACCGTACCTAATTCTTGTACCGGCCCGGCATTTACTTACGGTGAAATTGTACCAATACAAAAATTTTGTACCGTCCCGCCCTTAATTGACTATGAAATTGTACCGTACTTACACCGTCGTTGGCGGGATGAAATGTTACATCACAGAGAGTTTAATGTGAAAAGTAAAACTCTTTTTAAACACAGGAGTCGGGAGGTGGGGTTCGGACTCGGAGAGGGAATTGATTCTGCACATTCAGCAGTAAGGACTGTTAGTTTCACGTGGTTAATAGCGTCCCCCCACCCACACTTTTCATGGTGATCAAGTACAAATACCTGAGTTTAAAGAGATAAGTTCTTAGTGAACCAGAGGCACAGAGTGCAATCCTGAAAATATCATGAATAAATAATAACAAAGAAGAAAAGAATCGGGAGAAAACTATTCTTACATTATGGTAAAAAATGGCGGAGTCCGTTCAAGACCTTGACACAATATTTCAGAGATAAGAAGTGGGAAAAATCAAAAATCAATATGTTTTATACAGTGATAGCCAAAAAAGTCTGGAATAGGAATTCGACTTTTAGACTCAACTTCTGCCTTTAATAGTCCAATGAGCAATTGTGCAGTGTAAACAGACTCATTTTACTTAATAAGTGATTTAATAACTTACTAGTAAAACTATTTGCTTTGTAACAACATCAAATACACTTCAGCATTGCTTTAATGTCGTCTTCATAATCTAGTTTTCTGGTTATCTCTGTTGAGAAAATTTTCTCAACACTGTTGCTGTAAACGTATCTATTTATGAATACGTGGGAAACCTAGTGATTTTTCCATATGCAAAATATTCATTTAAAACGTTTCTTTTATTCTGAAGTAGTAATAGAAATATTATTAATATTATAGAGAACCAAGAGAAGGTGTTTTATTAGAACTATCAGCCTGGAGGATATACTAGGCATCATTCAGAACAGATATTCGATACTAGATATATCAGGATATATCAGGATACTAGATATATCAGGATATATCAGGCTTCCAGATATATCAGGATACTAGATATATCAGGATTCCAGATATATCAGGATACTAGATATATCAGGATACTAGATATATCAGGATACTAGATATATCAGGATACTAGATATATCAGGATATATCAGGATACTAGATATATCAGGATACTAAATATATCAGTATACTAGATATATCAGGATATATCAGGATACTAGATATATCTGGATACTAAATATATCAGGATTCCAGATATATCAGGGTACTAGATATATCAGGATACTAGATATATCAGGATATATCAGGATTCCAGATATATCAGGATATATCAGGATTCCAGATATATCAGGATAGTAGATATATCTGGATACTAAATATATCAGGATACTAGATATATCAGGATATATCAGGATACTAGATATATAAGGATATATCAGGATAGTAGATATATCTGGATACTAGATATATCAGGATATATCAGGATTCCAGATATATCAGGATACTAGATATATCTGGATACTAGATATATCAGGATACTAAATATATCAGGATTCCAGATATATCAGGATACTAGATATATCAGGATACTAAATATATCAGGATACTAGATATATCAGGATACTAGCATTATCAGGATACGAGAGATATTGAAAAACTTCATTGAACTTCTGTATTTCATTTTAAAAAATGATATACCTATCTATCTATCTAAAAAACTGTATTTTATGTTTATTAAAAAGTTTTCCTATACTAATAATATGGATACATTAAATATATTAGAATATTTGTTGATATATAAAAAACCTCAAAATAAATAGATATGCTCAATGCAGATAGAATATATTAAAAACCTCCTTGAAGATTTCGCCAAAAGGAATAAATTAATTTTTCATATTTCATCTTTCAGTATTTATATTTTCAATATAATATTTTCATGTTGCACCACGCATACAAATAGAATCTATAAAACTCTGGAATAAGAGGAAACCTGTTAGACTCAAATTTAAAATATTCTATCTATGCAATTAATTCTAAAAACAGCAATTGTGTAGTGTACACAGACACAATTTACGTATTAAGTTGTTTTTCAAGATAAGGGTAAAATTATCAGATTAATAACAGCAACAAATACTTGCTTATATGTTTCCCACCATTCTTGAATACAAACTTGTCAAAGATATGCTAATAAACTGTCAACTCTATCCAGGATTCAAATTTACTATTTACAATTTTGATAAATGTTTACACAGAGACCGAATTCAATGAATAGGAGATGTCGCTGAACTACCTACCCCCAATTCAAATCTTAAATCATCTATTCAAATCCTCTTTAATCTTTAACTTTGAATCTGTGATTCAAGATGTGAACTAGTGGTAGATAGTTCATTATATTCGGCCCCAGATCTATAATCTGTTCAAACTTGGTTTAGACATTCAAGCCGACGAACAAAACATTTTCAAAAGGTGTTTTTTTATTGGATTGACTTACCCTTACTTCTAATTATCTACATAGATTATGCTATGGAATTAAATTCTTTCCACAAACTCTAATTGTCTAATCTTTATATCTTTGCAACCATAAAACTATAAATTCGGTAAGATAAAATAATCAACGTATAAAGTAAAAAGGTTTTTATCATGAGAATGCAAAGATAAACGGATTAGAATTTAGAATATTAGTGTTTTGTAGCGAGTGTACATTTCTACAGTTAAATGGGAGGAGTTTAAGATAAGAAAGGAAAACTATAGTTATTTTCTATTCGTGAAAAGTTATACTCTAAAATGCAAAATATTTAAAAGACGGTGACGGTGTTTGCTACCAATTCAGAAAGTAAACAGGATATTTAATTAAATATGAGCTAGGCTTCGACACAGTTTAGTCTTTTATCTATTTCCTTTTTAATCTAGACAGAGCACACTGATTTACTAGTTCTGTCACGCACCCCTGACCCTTCAGTAAAAGTAAATTCAACCTAAAGTCTGACCGCGTCAACCTTGTTGCTCCGGCTAGTCCTAATGAGTGTCTGCTTTATTTACCCAATGTCCGGGCGACACAGTACAAACTGGGACCGGAAAGGTTGACCCGGCTCGGAAGTTCAAATGTACTACGGCTGCTCGTGCTGTACTTATCCCGAGTAAGCTGTGACTTTCGATCAGAATTTGACCTTTTAACATAATATTTTTGCCTTTTTTCATAATTACTTTTTGTCGGCATACACTTTTTCAATGACAAAGTATTGAACAGACAACTCTGCGAAGTTTAAAAATTGACAAATTATAAACCAAGACGCGACTGATTTCAAATGGAAGAAACCGAATGCATCTCGCCCTGGCCGGTTAGTACGTGGTAAGGGTGTATCAAACATGTCGATGTATGTATTCTTTTAAACGCAATAACTGAGGGTTAATATACTGTATACTAATGAATATATATAAATGGTAGAAATTAAGTCAATACCAGAGGGGGGCAATTAACGTTTGATTCTACAGAAAATTGGAACTTTGGTCCATGGAGTATCGTTATAATCCCTTCATTTTAGTTATACCTGCAGGAGTCTGCATAAAATGGAGATTGATACTTGATTCCGAGGTTTAGAGAGGTCGGAACTGTGTGATCTCGATATCCAATTTTGGAACTTTAAATTTGAGGATCAATTAATTCTTGATCCCTTCATTTTAGTTATCTTTGCAGGATATTACTACTAAGGGATATCGAAAAGGAATTGAATTGATCCTTCAGTCAGCATAAAATGGACCTTGATACTTGATTACGGGATTGAAAATACAAAGCTTATAAAGGGAACTTTTGTGTGAAGAATCGTTAATTGTGAACGTTTGATCTCGATATCCAATATTCGTGTTCGTTCTTTCTTGTGATCAAGAAATAAAAGAATTTAAGGATTTTTAAAACTTCACTGAGATTTCATGATAAAAAATAAAAGAAGACGACAATTCTTCCAGAATTTTCCGGTTATTACGTTTATCTAGGAGCTCTTACCTATAGACAACCACAATAGTTGTTAGTCCCACTAATCCCAGCATCCAGAACCATAGGAAGATATAAATCTTCTCATTGAAGATATTTAATGGTAGAATACAGAGAGCATCATGTTTCTCCAGCTCTCCAGAGCTACCGAACTTGTGAAAAGTGCACTTGGTCAACCTTGAGAAAAAAAGTTTATTAAAGGGACAAAATATCTAATGGCCCTTTGATTAAAAATGATTAAGAACAGTTCAATTTACTTTTTAATCTCAGAAACGACGTGTTGAAATCTAAAACCGGAAAAATTCTGACCATTTTCTTGCTCGCATGGGTCAGATTTGATAAAAACAGGTGAAGTAAGATATCACCTTAGAGATAGAGCAACAAAGATATTATTTCTTTGATAAAGGTTTTAAAGGTCTTTTTAGTCGTTAATTGTAATATTCAACTCAAGTTTTAACTAAAATAACATTGTTTTAAAGGAACTGTAGACGTAAGTACAGTTCACCCTCCATTTGTAAAGTCGCTTGCTTGATTCAAAACAGTACCCTTTGGCCTTTAAACCTTGACTGATAAAGTACAAAGGACTTGTCCTTATTTATTTACAGAAAGATTTCTAATTGTTTAAAGCGTTGTTTACAAGCTGTCTTATATTAATATTTACTTTCTAGAAGTCTTAGAAAATAAATATATTCAAATTTTTGAAAAACCATGTTCGAATATTTGGGGTTCTCGAGAACTATGTAAAGTCAGCTACGTTGAGTACCATTGTGAATCAGGAATGCCCTCTTTTACTAGAGGGCCACTAGAAACTAAGCCTACTGTCCCTTTAAGGAGGAAAATTCATCAATGTTTAAAGAATTTGATCCTTGAAGTTACAATGGAACTCCTGGAACTCCTGCGGAGTTAAATTCTTAAACTTGAGATTAGTTTTCAACATCTTTATCCTTCTTCACAATTATTCTATTGTCCAAATTCTTTAGATTTTCAACCATGTTTTTACAGTTTTTCTGACAACCCGAGATATTTTATCATATGGCAGGAAAAATATCTAAATATTATAACAATTGGAGTTTTTCAAGCAGAAAACAAAAAGTTTATTACTAGGACTACATTTTTCAGAGTTTTGATTATTTTGATCAAACAAATAAATTACTTTTTTCACATCGAATTTAAAATAATGTGTACTTTCAGCTTTCATCCTAACGAAAAATAATTAAAAAAGCTTCATGATGGTTAAAGCATTTAAAACATTAAAACAATATAACATAACTAGTACAGTTGAGCGATTGACTTAGATAACTATCTAATGACAAAGTGTGTATGAAAACTGAATTGAAATGACAAAAAAATTAAATTGAAGATGATAAGAATTTGAACGTTTAAAGGCCAATTTTGGATTTATTACATAAAATTGAAATCTGAAAGAAATCTCCTGTGATTTTTTACAGCACAAAAAACATCATATTTGTAAAATAAGTCGTCTCCCAACTGTCATGTTTATTGGGACACCCTGTATATTGTGAAATAGTGAATTGTATGAATCAGTGTTAAATATCCTACCTCGGGAAGATATAAACCATTGGATCGATCCTGTCCTCCTGATCTCGGTCTGCGAAGGATAGAACCTCGATCCCAAAAGTGAGAAATGTTCCATCGAAGAATCTGTCCAGTAAAAACATCTGACCTGCGGAGAGAATAATTCTTAATTTTGCATCCGTCAGCAGAACCTGGAGTTTAGGAGTAGAACCTGGAGTTTAGGAGTAGAACAAGGAGTGTAAGAGTAGAACCTGGAGTATAGGAGCAGAACCTGGAGTTTAGGAGTAGAACCTGGAGTATAGGAGCAGAACCTGGAGTTTAGGAATAGAACAAGGATTATAGGAGTAGAACCTGGAGTATAGGAGCAGAACCTGGAGGTTAGGAATAGAACCAGGAGTATAGGAGTAGAACCTGGAGTATGGGAGCAGAACCTGGAGTTTAGGAATAGAACCTGGAGTTTAGGAATAGAACCAGGAGTATAGGAGTAGAACCTGGAGTATAGGAGCAGAACCTGGAGTTTAGGAATAGAACCAGGAGTATAGGAGTAGAACCTGGAGTATAGGAGCAGAACAAGGAGTATAGGAGTAGAACCTGGAGTTTAGGAGTAGAACAAGGAGTATAGGAGTGGAACCTGGAGTATAGGAGCAGAACCTGGAGTTTAGGAATAGAACCAGGAGTATAGGAGTATAACCAGGAGAACAGGAGCAGAACCTGGAGTATAGGAGTAGAACAAGGAGTATAGGAGTAGAACCTGGAGTTTAGGAGTAGAACCAGGAGAATAGCAGTAGAACCAGAAATTTGGGGAGTAGAACCAGGTGAATAGAACCAGGAGTATAGGAGTAAAACCAGAAGTGTGGGCCAGGAGTATAGGAGTAAAACCAGAAGTGTGGGAGTAGAACCATGAAAGGGGGGTCACTTTGCGTCAAAAGAAATGGATTATATATTTTTTTTCTAGAGTTTTCATCATATTATTCAGTATTATTCAGTATTTTTTGAAGATATTTGAAGATACAAGAGAATACTTTTATCCTACCGTGAGACATAGTTATAATTACTCACTTTACCAGGAGACAGGGATTTGAGAAGAATTTCACACAAAATTGTTTAGCAATCATAGATGAAGTAGGAAGGATAGTTGTTATATGGATTGTATAGGACGGATAGTTAAATGGATGGAACATGGAATATTGATTGTGAAGGAAGGATAGTTGAATGGATGGAACATGGAATATGAATTGTGTAGGAAGGATAGTTGAATGGATGGAGCATGGAATATGGATTGTGTAGGAAGGATAGTTGAATGGATGGAACATGGAATATGGATTGAAAATGAAATATGGGATGTTAATATTATTGATGAGGATGAAAACACTTAAACCCATGGTGTGAAACCTTTTTACAATTCCGAGGTTAAGGCTCCCCCCGCCCTCTCCCCACTTCCTACAGAAAATATAAAAAACCTCTAATTCATATCCGGATACATGGTCAGCAATGTTATATATCCTGGGATTTATAGTATTGTCTTTTCACAATATTAGCCTACAAAGTAGAAAAGTTAGGAAAACCTTTTTATTTTCTTAAAATACTCCAGCTCAAGGTGGACTAATACAGAATCTATTTTATTTCTTTTTTAATCAAAACAGAATATTTTTTTATTTAAATTGAGGAGAGAAACCTGCTTTTCCTTAACATTTACATTCATTGAATTATTAAACGAAATAAAAAATATAACCGGTTTTTTTCATTATTTATTTGATAATTGATTACAAAAGTTTTAAAAGTTTAAAGGAACTGTAGACGTAATTTTAAGTGATCCTACATTTATAGACTGTCATGTCAGATTTTCAGTGTATCCCTTTAAATCATTGAATGATCAAGGATGACAGATTTATCTTTATTTCCGTCATTGTTGACAACTTTAATTGCGCAGGCTGCTCTATATTTTTTTTTTAAGTTTAAAATTATTATTTAATTATAAATATTCTAATTTTAATTTTCAAAATTGCGTCGCAATTTTCTAGAAGTCAGCTACGTTGATATGACACTATGGACTGGTTTGCTGGTGTAACTTGTGCACAAGTTTTAGTTCTCCGCACGCGCCGCAGATGATGTTGTCAATCGGACATGCCGCTCGATAAATAAAATACACTTGATTTTACGTCTACAATCCCTGTAAGACAAAACAAAATTATAAATTGCTGAAAAATGTGTTGATCACGTGTAAACCAGATGGTGTAAATGTGTTGATCACGTGTAAACCAGATGGTGTAAATCTGTTGATCACGTGTAAACCAGATGGTGTAAATGTGTTGATCACGTGTAAACCAGATGGTGTAAATGTGTTGATCACGTGTAAACCAGATGGTGTAAATTTTCTTCCATATTTATGTTTTCCCACTTGAGCTGGAATTTAAAAATGTTTCTGAAACATGGTTTTATCAAAATAAAAGAATCCATTTCCATTTTCTAAAAGTCCAAATAGCGTCAGCAGGGTCTGAATATCGACCATTTCTAACATGATTAGAAGGTTTTACATTCACCTCTACTCCCCTATGCTTAAGTATATACAGATGGGGGCAGGTTGAGGTGGTGAAGAGGAATATATATGTAAAGTAGATTAGTGTTAATGAGAGTATATCCTAGTCCTGTTCTAACCCTGTGCCAGCTCCAGGTATCATTAGAGTAGAGTGACTACTAGTATAGTATCACTAGATCTCCGCATACTTATTATTCTGGTATCACAAAGGACTAGTTCCAATAAAGCAGAATATAGTGGGAATATAATCATTTTCTTCATATATATTTTCCTTCCTGTTTATATTAAGGATTTTTTTTATACACAGAGAACAAATATTTGCAATATTATTGTAAAAACATCTTTACATTTTGTGATGTTGAAAAAATATATAAATTTTGGGCTTCAGTAAAGTTTGCATGCATATATTGTAAACGTACCTATGACATTAATGAGCGCCAGTAACTCACAGAAGAAGTATCTAAAGGCCCAGAAGTTATGGTGTTTTAGATTGGCATAAATATAATCCAGGATCAGTTTCTTCTTCAGTCTTTTCTCACTCTCAGATATTATTCCCAGATCTAGGTCCATTGTTAGAGCAGCAACCTGAATACGTAGTTCTATTGATAGAGCAGCAACCTTAATACGTAGTTTCATTGAAACAGCAGCAACCTGAATACATAGTTCCATTGTTAAAGCAGCAACCTGAATAGATAGTTCCATTGTTAGAGCAGCAACCTAAATACATAGTTCCATTGATAGAGCAGCAACCTGAATAGATAGTTCCATTGTAACAGCAGCAACATGAATAAATAGAGCAGCAACCTAATTACATAGTTCCATTGATAGAGCATCAACCTGAATACATAATTCAGGTAATAGAGCAGCAACTTGAATACATAGATCAATTGTTAGAGCTGCAACCTAAACACATAGATCCATTGATTGAGCAGCAACCTGAATACATAGTTCCATTGATAGAATAACCTTAAAATACAAATTATTATGTAAATCAAGTTATCTCAGACGTCACGTGACATACGAAGTTCTGATGTATTTTTAATTTTTAAGAATATTAAAGATTATTCCTCCTCCTCTCTGTGTATTTTGTGATATAGGTAAACGGATTAAGTATATTAATATAAATAGATTAAGACAGAAAGAATTTGATTATAGTATAATAATAGCTGGTGGGTGAAGACTAGACTAATATAGATCATCTATAAGCAGGTTAACTAAATAAATATGCAATATATAAACAATTATTTAGTATTCTTAATATAAAGAAGAACTATGTTGATACAATTGACCAAGGATAAATTTCAAAATTAAAATTTTATCTTAAAAATGTATTTTTCTTATAAAATAAAGGTATGCAAAAGGTAGGTATAGGTACATTCTAATTCCTTTGGATATATATTAGTATTTAGATGGGTAGATAAGTAAAAAGGAGGTTATGTAGATAGGTAGAAAGGTAGTTAGATAGGTAGATAGGGAGATATTTAGATTGTAGATAGGTGGAATGGGGCATATGTAAAACAGGTATATAGGTAGAAATGTAGATAAGAAGACATGGGGGTATTAGATAGGTAGATAGTTAGATAGATAGATAGTAGATAGGGGGAAATGTAGATAGTAGATAAGAAGATAGAGGAATATGTCGACAGGTTGATAGGGATATATATGTAGAGAGGTAGATATGTAGATAGGGCATATGTAGATAGGTAAATAAGTAGATAGAGGAATATATAGATACGTAGACAAGAAGATAGTTAGATAGATAAATAGGTATATAGGGAAATAAGTATGTAGATATGTTGATAGGTAGGTGTTATAGGGAGGTAGTTAGACTAGTAGTTAGATTAGGTTAGCACATAGATAGGTAAGTATGTATAGGGGGATAAGTATGTAGATATGTTGATAGGTAGGTGTTATAGGAAGGTAGTTAGACTAGTAGTTAGATTAGGTTAGCACATAGATAGGTATGTATATAGGGGGATAAGTATGTAGATATGTTGATAGGTAGGTGTTATAGGAAGGTAGTTAGACTGGTAGTTAGATTAGGTTATGCACATATATAGGTATGTATATAGGGGGATAAGTATGTAGATATGTTAATAGGTAGGTGTTATAGGAAGGTAGTTAGACTGGTAGTTAGATTAGGTTATGATATAGGTATGTATATAGGGGGATAAGTATGTAGATATGTTGATAGGTAGGTGTTATAGGAAGGTAGTTAGACTGGTAGTTAGATTAGGTTAGCACATATATAGGTAAGTATGTAGGTAGTTAGGAAGTTGATTAAATATATAGATGATGTGTAAGTGGGTAGAGGTAGGTTAAGCCTATGCTAAACATGGATTTATATTAATGTGTTTAAGATATCCTAGGATAAAGGTTTTTACCTTCCCAGCCTCCCAGTTCTTCCACAACCATCGAGGGATATAGAACAGGATTGCCTAAACATTGATCATATAGAACACGATTGCCTAAACATTAATTATATAGAACAGGATTGCCTAAACATTGACATTGAAGAACAGGATTGTATAAACAGTGACTATATAAAACAGGATTGTCTAAATCTAGATCTTTTCTGGAATTTTATTTTACCCCTTTCATCTTTTAATACTATTTTGAATAAATTGATCTGATTCTGAGTGAAAATGGGTTCGAAATTGAATACTCACTGATTGTTAATCCAGACATGCTATAAAACCCACTTTTTATGATTCTTAAATAGTTTTGTTCCTTGAAGGAAAGATTTTTCCATCAAAAACGAGACTATTTTACTCCGTCTTGATAAAACAAATTTGAGGATTAGTTTTCCCTCTATCCTGTCTGTTAAGCCTATGAGATGTTGAATAGACGCTGAGAATGGGGTTTCTTCCTAATAATATCCTGAGAAGGATTGAGAGTTTATGGTCCGAGGAGAGGAAGGATTTCTACAGAAATTATATTACCTCATTCTTACAACCCAATAAATAACAGGGACAACCACACAGGAGGGAGGGAACCCTAGGACGCCATGAGCCTCTGCTATGCAGACACAAGCCTCCCAGATTTGCTAGGCAGACCGAGCCTCTGCTATGCAGTGAACGATCCTTCACCATGCATAACAGCTTTTTAAAAATCTTGGTTATTATTAGTAATGAAAAACGTAAATTTTTTTTTTTGACATAGTGGCATAAGAATTTTACTAAAGATAAGATTTATTTATTGATTGTCATGATTAGAAACATATGTGGACTCATAAAGTGGTTTATAAGATTTATACTAACACTTTAAACATTTCTTACGCAGAAAGGAAGATATTTGGAGAAAAAATATTTCTGGGGTAAATTTAATATGTTTTGTTCTAATCTTTGATTTAAACAATACCTTTTTAAAAAAAAAAATTAAAGAAAGGATAAAATTTTTTTTTATTTAATTTGAACTACAAAAAAGGTATTGCTTAAATCTAAGATTATAAAAGATGAAATTCAATTCAATTCAAATTTTTTTCTCTAAATATTTTTCTTTTCATGTAAAGAATGTTTAAAGTTTTATATACAACTTTATTAGTCATAATTAGGAACTATTTATGAAAAATGATAAATGCTTCTCATCTTCGAGAAACCTCTAATGCCACGATGTCAAAAAATTTTAAAAAAAGCTTTTATTTTATCTTAAAATACAAGTTTAAAAAAAACTCCTGTATTACACAGGCACATTTTGATGTATTGCGCATGCTCATTTCTGCACAGCAGAGGCTCGGTCAGCCTAGCAAATCTGGGAGTCTTGTGTCTGCATGCATAGCGGAGGCTCATGGCGTCCGTGGGTTCCCTCCCTCCACACACAAATATTAGACAAACAACGTTTTATCAAACTCTTCCTCCTTTAACACTAATATTTAATATTTTAATAATCTATTACATCAGTATCTTTTTAAAACAAAAATAAAAAACTATGCATTTTTTATCTGATGTTTAAAGGGACTGTAAGCGTAATTTGTGACCTTCCATTTATAGAATGGCATGTCTGATTTACAACAATACCCTTTAAACCTTTGCTTAGTCAAGGACTTCGTAGATATTCTTATTCGGAAATTAAGTGTCAAGAAACCGTGCGAGTGTACACTATAACCTCGAGCAGTGAGCACTCAATCTTCAGCTGTGCAGATGAGGCAGGGGAGGGAGGCAGGGACTGAATTGCAAAAATGCGTGAGAGGTAGGGAAAGATTTTCTTCAAGTTTTACATCTGATTTGTGACACTTGTACCAAAGTTGACTCTTGTGCCACATGTTAACACTTGTACCAAAGTTGACAGTCATACCAAATGTTGACACTTGTAACAAATATAACTACAAAATTCATCCCCCATTACTGATCCTATTAATTGAGAGCGGCGTTAAGTCAAAGCAGCTGTATAACATGAAGAAAATCTATCCCCACCTCTCACGCCTGATCTTTGCATTTCCGCCCCTGCCTACAAATGAAGGTATTCTCTTCATCGTTGTCCAGACAGAGTTTTAGAATGTACCGTTGTGAAACAAACATGCCTCTTTATAAATAAAAGGTCAGTCCCTTTAAAGAAGGAAAATAATTCAGATGTATACTCTGCAGATCCCTGAATTTCTGTAGAAAACAGTTCTCACTGCCGGCTTAGTCAGTTTCGTCGGCTAGATAGCACAAGCTAGGAGGTTTTTAATTTTGTGAAAGCCTTCAAACACAACCGCCCAAAGTTTGTTTACAAATTATAACCGTCCTAAAACGTCAAAAAGACTATGTACCTATAATCTCGTAGAGGGGGGGGGGGAGGAAGGCAAGCCGTACCCGTATAGCCTCCATCCCGCTATTTACTCATAAATGTCGAGTTGCGGCAACGCACTTACCCTTAGCGCTTCCTTAGCTACACCCCTATATACTCTGGCAAAATGTCTTTATTTTTAAATGCTTATGATAGAAAAATGCAGCGTTAATTTAAGATTTTAAAGAAGTCTTGGCATCTATTATAACCTAAACATATTAATCATATTTTTTTTGTTAATATGAGTAAAAATTCTGGCACACTGGGGCAATATTTGTAAAAAAAAATTTAACTGTGATTTATTGCGATTTCCTCCTAAAGTATTTTAGTTTTTGTACATGTATGCTGATGTTGATCTTCTCTAAAAATGTTTTTGAAGGGAAAAAAATTCAATCTTTACCAAAAATAACGCAGTTTTGCGTGAGATTCGGTTTTAAATTTTCTAAATTCAGAGGTAAATAGATAGATAAATAGATTTAGATAATTCAAAACCGAATTGCACGCAAAACTGTGTTATTTCTGGTAAAAAAAGTGAGCGCGTTACCGCAACTCTATGTTTGTAAGTAAATTCCGGGTTGGAGGCTATACGGGTGCGGCTTGCCTTCCCCCCCTCTGTCGTCCCTAAGAAAAGGATAGGTCAACATTTTAACATCAAGTAGAGTAAAGTTTAGCCGGTGAGCCCCAGAAAACTGTGGAAATGGAAGACGACTGTTAGACTTAAATCTTATTTAAAGTTTATTTTGCTTTTTAGCAACATCAAATACACATAAGATGTAAAGTCGTCTTTCAATCAATAAGTTTCAATGTCGCGAAACTATCTTTTATACTGGATTTTATTAAACAGAAATGGTTAATTATATTTTTCCTACCTGGAAGAATAGGCAGAAGCAAACCCACTGATAATATCTGACATATCTTCTCTCCTCTGGATCTACAGTTTTATCTATCCCAGGATGAGCAACATCTATTCCAATCCGTTTCCAGAATGCGCTGGGTATAGTGTAGGTGGAGTGTATCCAACAATAGGTATTGAGAACTTCCTAGAATACAAGGGTTTGTTCAGATACTAATCAAGGTTCGGAGCTAAACCTTTGTTCTCAGAACAATTAGAATAACTGTTCAGACTTGAGACAATTCTTAATTTACTCTTATACTTACTTTACTAACTTCCATTCCTTTTCTACAAACTAGATTCCTAAACCTTAAACACTAACTCATATAGCTTAGGCAGAGGTAGGAGAATAAATCTGTTGCCATGTGACACCGACAAATTTAACTAATTTTAAAATCAATTTAAACAAAATTATTCATAAAATAAAAATTTACGAATTTTTGTCGATGTAGTTGCAAGTAAAAGATTTCCATGCTCCATTTAGAACGGTACGAAGTGTAACTTCTAATGTTAACAAAACTTCCTTTAAAGCAACTGTCGTCATAATTAATAATTAAGTGACTCTCCATTTAAATATGTGCATGCACAATTCACAACGGTAACCTTCAAATCTTTATACAATTATAATGTTGAAAATAACTCGGTTTTCTGACTTAAAAAGTGTTTAAATCTGAAAAGTTCTTCATTGTTTTTGAAGCAAGAAATGTGCAAGTCACTTTTGTAGGGGAATCACGAATAAAAAAGCAGTTTTCAACAATAAAAACATGGATATCTAATTTATATTTAATCATACAAAACTTTTACCGTTGTGAATCGGACATGCCACCATAGCAATGAAGGGTCCCTTGAAATTACGGGTTTAGTCCCTGTTTGACGTATTTTTTTCATTTTAGTCATAAAAAATGAAAACTTATCTTAAAAAAACTCGAAAATTAAATTGCATATTTTCTGTGAGATTGCTTTAACACCAAGCAATTTTTGAATCCAAGGTTGTGACTGGTGAGAGGTTGATGATTAAAGCAGGGCTTGGTTGAGTGGTTTGAGCTTCTTTAATCAAAGGTAGAAAAGGAAGGAAGAAAATTTGGCAGACTGGTTCTTCTCATTGTGTTTCTAAATCCTTTATCATACATATTCTACCCCTTCTATCTCAGTCATCCAACCATTCTAATTGTCATTTATCATTCATATTACCTCTTGTTAATCTAACCATTTATTATCCATATACACATTCATCATAAACTCTCTATTTATCCTTTCTACTCTCTCTATTCTTTATTATCCATATATTCTCTCTATCCTTCATAATCCATCTATTCTCTCTATCCTTCATAAACCATCTATTTTCTTTATACTTCTCGATTCATCTATTCTCTTTATCCTTTATGATCCATCTATTCTCTTTATCCTTCCTTATCCATCTATTCTCTTTATCCTTCCTTATCCATCTATTCTCTCTATCCTTCCATATACATTTATTCTCTTTGTCCTTCTTGATCCATCTATTCTCTCTATTCTTCCATATACATCTATTCTCTTTATCCTTCCTGATCCATCTATTCTCTCTATCCTTCCTTATCCATCTATTTCTTTTTACTTCTTGATCCATATATTCTCTCTATTCTTCCTGATCCATCTATTTTCTTTATCCTTCCTGATCCATCTATTCTCTCTATCCTTCCATATACATCTATTCTCTTTATCCTTCCTTATCCATCTATTCTCTCTATTCTTCCTGATCCATCTATTCTCTCTATCCTTCCTGATCCATCTATTCTCTCTATCCTTCCTTATACATCTATTCTCTCCATCCTTCCGTATACATCTATCATTTCTACCCAGTCTTTCTTATACGTCAATAATTCTAAAGGATTTAGAATCATAAAAATGTAGTTCTGAGATTAATTTTGCATTTGTACAATAAGATTCATGTTTGTGAATTTACCTCTGGAATATCCTTAGTATGAACGCAATCAATCGGGTTCCCAACATATTGTCTTGTCGTCACTAACAGAGAGAATCCAAGAAGGCAGATAACTAAACCAAACCAAATCAAACTTATCATAATCAAACCAAACCAACTTTTATTCTAACCAAACCAAATAAAACTTATAACAACTAAACCAATGTTTTTACTAACCAAACCAAATCAACGTGTGTATTAATAAAACCAAGCAATACTTTCTACAAATATAACCAAAACCAAAGAATCTACAAAACAGACCAAAACAACTTTTTAAAATATTTGTGGATTTCTTTCAAAAAGATTATCAAGAGCTAAAGAAAAAATCTTTGTAATTGATTATCTGGTTTATGTAGAACAAGCACTGTTGAGAAAAGTTGATGACAAGCTTTAAAGTGTATTGCTAAATTACATTTAATTAAGTTTTGTAAAGCTATCCCTCCGAACCTGAGATGAAACCTGAAATTGATATTCTAGTTCTCTCTTTAAGTTAATTTGCATAAAAACTTTTTCATCTGAAGGTTTGATAACGTTTCCAAATTTGTGAATAAATTTGTTTCCATGTTTCTGGAGCTTGTTAACTGTCAAGCAGGCCTGTTTATTTTACATACATATATATATATATATATAAAGGATCATAAAATAAAACTCTTTTCTCAGAGCTGTTAGAACAGTGCATCAGTTTGAAATAGATAAGGGACACTTCAGATTTGGAATTTTTAAGAAATATTCAAATAAAATTACATACAAACATCTTTTATAACAAACTGTATAAAATCTTTTTTGTTTTGGTTCCTGTGACGGTATAGTGGAGTCGGAATATACTAGAATCAATCTGAACATGAGAGAGCTTAACCAGGCTCTTCAGCCCTCGTAGTATATCAAGCATCTTCAGTTCTCAACCCAACCTAGATATTAGACATTCAGTTCTCAACCCAAACTGGATATTTTATATTCAGTTTTCAAACCAACCATGATATTAGATATTCAGTTCTCAACCCAAACTGGATTATAGATATTCAGTTCTCAACCCTCCTAGATATTAGATATTCAGTTCTCAACCCAACCTAGATATTAGATATTCGGTTCTCAACCTTCCTAGATATTAGATATTCAGTTCTCAACCCAACCTAGATATTAGATATTCGGTTCTCAACCCAACCTAGATAATAGATGAGAGTACTCAACCCAAATCAGATATTTTTTATGATCAGTGCTCAAACCAACCCAAATATTTTATGTTAAGACTCAACCCAACTAATATATTATATGTTCAGAGTACTCAATTCAGCTCACATATTATATGTTCAGAGTACCCAACCCAACTCATATATTATATGTTGAGAGTAACCAACCCAACTCATATATTATATGTTCAGAGTACTCAACCCAACTAATATATTATATGTTCAGAGTACTCAATTCAGCTCAACTCATATATTATATGTTGAGAGTAACCAACCCAACTCATATATTATATGTTCAGAGTACTCAACCCAACTAATATATTATATGTTCAGAGTACTCAACCCAGCTCACATATTATATGTTCAGAGTACTCAACCAAACCCAGATATTTTATATTGAGACTAAACCCAACCAAGGTATCTGATAGTTACTACTCAATTAAATCTTTATATTTAATATACAGTGACCTAGATATTTATCTCTTCCTAGATTTATTATCTTTTATACAAACCTGACGATGAGCAGTTGACCCATTTACTAAAGAATCATATGAACCAAATCAGAGAGGTTTTGCAATTTTTGCAGCTCATTAATATCTTTTATGTCTTAATTAGAGAACTCATTTTTGCTCTAAATTCTAAAAATGAATTTAACCTGTGAAAATATAGAAGAGTTGTGAGGTAATTGGCAGGCTCCATTAGAACTGGCAACTCCGTCCTGCACAACTTGTTTATCTGTTTGCAAGGTTCGGATATATATCCATATTCTTCTCTGGGTTGAGTTGGCACACACTCAACCATCCTGCACTAATCTTTTCCTTTAATCATGTAGATCCGTCCTGGTGTAGTGGTTCATAGTGGATTCTAAGATTTACATATTCTCACACGTCTGAGATAATGGTGGAGAAACAGTGGATTAGGATCTGATAGCTTCGTCTTTTATCATCACATCTGAAACATACAGAACTAGAATCTAGAAATGTTAGGTTGGATAAAGAATGATGAAGTGTCCTATCCGTCAGATTGAGAAATCGTTGTTGGACTCAGAGAAACTACAGAGTCAATAGGCTCCTGACTTAATATCTCATTAAAGAACCATATTGGAAATAGAGATTTGGAACACAGGGCATAAAGGAAGGATCAGAGTTCAGGAGAAAAGAGGTATTTGTTGTACATAAAGGATAAGGGTGAGGGAAGGTTTGACTTAGATTAAATAAATAATAAAACCACCCCCCTTAAAGAATCTCATATCTCATTCAGTTCCTTCTTAAACTAAACAATAAACATAAAGGTTGACCATATTAATTTTCATTACGGTTTTTTTTATAGAATTTAGAAATAAGTTGGTGTTATGAGGGGATGGTGTAACAGGAAAAGTCATGGATAGTAGGGGAAAAGAAAGAAAGAAAAGAAAAAGGTTTGGATTCAAAAGAAAATTAAGGAAAATGGAGTCAGGTTTCTGAGAAGAAAGGACGACTGGAGTTTTAAAAAAGAGAGGCGGATTAAAAGGAAAGAGAAAGGGAAAAGGTTGGGTTTAGGTAGAAGAGAATTAAAAGTAGAAGAAGAGAACATGGAAGGGGTTGGGTTTAGGAGAAGGAAGGAGATTGGTAGAAGAGAATTAAAAGTAGAAGAAGAGAACATGGAAGGGGTTGGGTTTAGGAGAAGGAAGGAGATTGGTAGAAGAGAATTAAAAGTAGAAGAAGAGAACATGGAAGGGGTTGGGTTTAGGAGAAGTAATGAGATTGCTGTCCAAACATGAAAGAATTGAGTGGAACAGAATTAAATAAGAAAAAGTTTGGTTTGATTATAAAGAAATGTAGTGGAGTGGATTAAAAATTTTAGTTTTAAATGTAAAAACAGTTGATCTTGAAGATTTGATGATTTAAAAAAATGTGGGGCCTGATAGAGTTCCAGATAAATATGTGTCCCGAATAAATTGACTTAGAATTAAAGTTCTAGATTTTTTTTTACCAATTTTATCAAAGAAAAACTATAAACTTGGCAAAGTGGAAAGAAAACGAAAGAAAATACTGATCATAATCTTGAGCTTAATATATATTATTCTTTCTGAAATAAATTGAAAATCTTTGTTTGTTTGAGAAGCAGTGTTTCTGAATCTGATTTATGCTGGATCGTGCAGTTTCCTCAAAAATTTTTTTTGAACATTGATTTACAAACCCCCCGTCCACCCTCTTTACCTATATTCTTCTTGTTTTGCCCTTTCCTTTCAAATGTATAAAGCAGTAAAATGTATTTTACTCTGCCTCCCCCCCACCCCTACCACACTCTTTCTCAGTTTCTATGTTTTGCTTTCAGTAAGAATGAAATATTCTGTTTTTGAAATAGGACATAAAAGTAATAAATAGAATTTTGAAAAAAAAATGAACTTTTACTTTAAAAAACTGGAGACTTTTCAAGAAAGCGGAATTCTGGAATATTTTTAAAATATGAAAAATCAAAAACGTCCAAAAAGCAAGTTTTTTTCCGAAACCAATTTTTTTCCGTACAACGAATCCGGAATCTGGAAACTTCCGAAAAAGCAAACTATAAGTGTGCAGTGTACATTATCTATGTGTGTGCAGTGTACATTATCTATGTGTGTGCAGTGTACATTATCTATGTGTGTGCAGTGTACAGTACAGAATGAATAATAGTCTCTCTAATTTCCTGTGCTCCATGCCAGCCCAGAGATTTTAAGGATATGAGATCTATTAAATATTTGGAGACCAAAAATCCACTCATTACACAACATTTTTTACCATCTCTCTTGTAATAATGCTCTCATAAAAAAGTTCAATTTTAACTTCTTATACTAAATTATCTTGGGTTTAAAAACATGGGTCTCCTCCCCGGAGGAATAAAAAACCTAATATTTATATTTTTGTTTCTACAGATGTGAGAAGATGAGCAAGGAAATATTTCCATTATTTAGAAAATTTCATTTTCTATTTGATGTTAATATGTTTTACTTTTCTATTTATATATAGTTTTTTCTTTGTTTTTATCGGTCTGCAGAAAACACGAGTTCAAGTACATTTTAATTTCCTTTTCTCTCTGATAACTAGGATGAAAATTAAAAAAACAAGACCATTCTAGATGTAGAGAAAACAAGACCATTCTAGATATAGAGAAAACAAGACCATTCTAGATATAAAGAAAAAGTTTAAGTTCTTTTTGCATTTATGCAGTTTTCAATATATATGTACAATAAACATACATATTACACATGTCATGCTTTAAAGAGTAAATCTGGAAAAACATTTCTAAATATTGCTCCGAGTGTAATGTTGTTGTTGACAGTTTGTAGACATTTATGTTTTTATTTGGACCTCAGAATCTTGTACAGCAATGTGTCTCCAAGATCTAACACTATTTAATGAATTACAAGAAGTAGTTGAATTACGTAGACTAGTTGAACCACTCTTAAACTTAAACTTAACTTGAACTTAAACAATCACGTTCAACCACGTCTATGCAGCTCAACCTCTTTTCGCTATTCATTAAATCTGTTCTCAGGAAGGATTAAATTTAATAAATAAAATCTGTGTACCGTAGTAGAAAGAGATCAAAATTCTAGGGGGAAATGATATATGAGGGCGGTGGTTTAGAAATTACAAATATTAAGAGATCACAGTACATATTTTGCATACACTGCTTTCCTGTGTAAATTCCTTGGTAATACTGCTTTGATAAATATAAGTTAACAAGAGGTTACATCAAATATATTTCTCATTAAATATAAATGTAAGATATATCTCAAAACTGTAATGTAGTTAAAGAATGTACAAAAAGTACTGCATTGAACAAAATATATATATATGAATATAAATATTGGTTACATCTATCTATCTAAAAGCCAATGGCAGTGCAATATACTGGTTACGCTGTTTCCGTCTGAATCACGTGACAACGATATTTCACTTCCATTGGCTGAAGTTCTGGTAACGTAATACGAACTTTACAGACTATATGTAATTATATTATCAATTATATCTTTTGAAAATGCAAAATGAATATTAAAAAATTATTATAGGAGCAAACCTGAGATTCTCAGGCTCCTGTGAGATATCGTCGTTTTTAGATTGGTTGCATATTTGTTGAATATGATCTGTTTTATACTACGGCTTTTGTACAAAATTGCATATATAATATATGAATTTTCGTACAGTTTTATATCAATTTCTCAAGACAGGAACCTGGAACATTAGATAAATGTTTTATATGTAACGTTTATCGCCTGAGATTCTCAGGTTTCATCCTATGCACCCATAGATAAAGATAGATTGCGCATAAGATGACATTTTTCATCTTGAAAGATATAAATGTACAGAGATGTTTTAAAGATATTCCTATTATATAGATTAACTAACTAACATTAAGGCAAAAAGGATTTTATTACCAATTCTCTTATTCTACACAAGTACTTCTATATGNAGATTCATCTAAAACTGAGATGCAGTTAAAGAATGTACACAACGTACTGCAGTATACATATAGCAATGAATATAAATGTAGGATATATCTAAAAACTAAGATATAATTGAAGAATGTTCACAGAGTACTGTAGTATACATAATTAGTACTGCAGAAATGAATACAAATGCAAATACATTTAAAAACTAAGATATAATTACATGAAGGTAAACGAAATACTGCAGAATACATTTAGAAATAAATAAAATGTAAGATCAAAACACTAAGATCCAGTTAAAGAATGTACACGAAATACTACATGATATAAAGGGATGTACATGGTACACGAAGTACTGCAGTATATATATTTATAGATTATATAAATGTAGGATACATCTAAAAACTAAGATATAATTGAAGAATGTAAAGGAGCTGGTGTCGTATGTCCAGAATAAACAAATGAAGATAAATTGGTTTTTTTTTACCCTACAGCTATACAGATTAGACATTCTCATATTAGACATTATCATATTAGACATTGTCATATTAGACATTCTCATATTAGACATTCTCATATTAGACATTCTCATATTAGACATTCTCATATTAGACATTCTCATATTAGACATTCTCATATTAGACATTCTCATANAGATATTTTCATAATAGATATTTTCATTCTAGATATTTTCTTAATAGATATTTTCATACTAGATATTTTCATACTAGATATTTTCATAATAGATATTTTCTTAATAGATATTTTCATAATGGATATTTTCATACTAGATATTTTCATACTAGATATTTTCATACTAGATATTTTCATAATAGATATTTTCATACTAGATATTTTCATACTAGATATTTTCATACTAGATATTTTCATAATAGATATTTTCATACTAGATATTTTCATAACAGATATTTTCATACTAGATATTTTCATAATAGATATTTTCACAATAGATATTTTCATACTAGATATTTTCATAATACATATTTTCATACTAGATATATTCTTAATAGATATTTTCATACTGGATATTTTCATACTAGATATTTTCATACTAGATATTTTCTTACTAGACATGCTCATACAGTGATAACCAGAAAACAATGAAATAGGAAGGCGACACTATGGCAGTCCTCAAGTGTATTTAACGTTATTTCAAAGCAAATGGTCCTACAAGACACTTATTAACCACTAATTTAGTAAAATGTGCCTGTTTACAGTGCACAATGGGTGTGTCTCACGCTCACTGGACTTTTCAAAGTTATAACTTTCTGGTTATTACTGTACTATAATTCTTAAGTAAACATTATATTTAGTTTTTCCATCTGAGGGTCCTACAATTCATCTTTCAAATTCTCTGTTAGTCCATTATCATTTTCAATTTATCTCAACAATTGTCTGGTTTAATTAATGTTACAACAAGAGGAGTTCTTATTCTATTCTTGATCTAGAACTGAGTTCTCTAGAATTACATATAAAGTACTGCATAGTATTGTTCTATATCTAATCTTTCGTTTTTGTTCTCCTACTCCTTTCCTTTCTCTTTCTTTTCACGTTCTTCTCCGTTCTAATTTATCTTCTGATTCTACCTCTCTTCTCTACGTATCTCTAATTCCAGAATATATTTGAGACTAATATCCTACTCCGGGGTAAAGAATCAATCCTAAGAAATGTCCGGATTTCAATTTGAAGAAAATCCTGGAAAATCTGTAGTTAGATGTATGGTTGGACTGAGCAATAGATCTCAGTATAGTTTATATGTCAACCTCAATCCTTTCCATTGGAGACACAGTTTTTATACTAGATAGTAGATACCTTGGATGCCAGGATACAAAACTACAGTTCTTACTCAGCCGCAGTATATTACTTTCGACAAACAACATAACAGGATTCTAATCCTAGATAAGGTTGTATATGTCCTGTTTACAGATAGGATTCTAATCCTAGATAAGGTTGTNTTAGTTCAAATGATATGACACCATCAAGACCAAAAATCAAAACCGGGTTTTCAAAAGTTAAAGAGTACATCTTAACATGACACGCTGATTGGTTATTTTTTAACTTCTTTCTTGGATATCGAATAGATATGATTCTAATCCTAGATAAGGTTGTATATGTCCTGTTTACAGATAGGATTCTAATCCTAGATAAGGTTGTATATGTCCTGTTTACAGATAGGATTATAATCCTAGATAAGGTTGTATATGTCCTGTTTACAGATAGGTTTCTAATCCTATATAGATTAAAGTTTATATGCTCCGGGGCACTTTAGACATAAGTTGAAAAACCTAGATGAAGGTTGCAATGAATTTAGAAAGCTTCAAGACGTTTGACAGAAGGGTTTTGATTATTTACTTTATTTTAGAAGCAAACTTTATCGTTCGAAGCTGAAAACTTTTGAATGAAATCGAGTTATTGGTTGGTTAAGATTAATGATCTCTCATGGAAACAATGAAATGAGATATGGATTAAAGAAAGGGATTGTATAGAAACAAGATTAACTCTTTTTGTCCATTAAAGGGAGTGACCGGCTATGTAAGGTAGTTGAACTGAGTATGCAGTGTTGTGGAAAACATTTTTCGGATTCATTTGAGACATATTAAACCTTTTAAGATCTGCAAATCCTGAGTTTGAGCGCAAATTCGACGTTCAAAACTCCTACTTTGGGATTGGATACGTTTAACTTCCAACTTTTCCCTGCGCTATATGGTGAGGCATTAAATATTACTATTTCGTTTGCACCTTTTTTTCTCTTGGGTTTACGTTTTAAACATTTATGATATTACGGTAAGGTTGAAAACTCTGGAATGACAGATCAAAAAGATGATCATATTAAAACTGATCTGCTCAGTGTAGCGTGCAGGTCAACATAAGAACATTAAGATTAGCAAACTGTGTTATCAAGTAGTTTACAGAAACTTACAAAGTTAGAAGTAAATCGGAATTTAATTTCGAAGTCTGAATTGCTTTGCTTTAGAATATATGAGGTTGAAAGAAGGAAATAAATCTTAAACTTTAGGTTTTAGAGTTTCCTTCCACCCTCTTTCTCCTCCTTACTCTTTTCACCTACCTCCTTCCTCCTCCTTTTTCCATCCTCTCTTCTCCCCTCCTCTTCCTCTTCCTCTTTCCTCTCTTTCCTCTCTTTCCTCCTTCTTATCCCGTTAACTTGTCTCATTCCTCCTTTCTTTCCCTGACATCCTTCTTTCTCCCTTTCCCTTTTTCCTTTTCTTCTCCTTATTTCCTCACACCACTTCTAACCCTTCTTCTATCATAAAACACATCCCGCCCCCACTTATCCATTACAATTGCGACTTTTCCCATTCTTTCTCTCCCCTCCCCCCTTCTCCCTTCCAGTTTCCCTATTCCCTTTACAATCAGTTTTTGGAAATTCATTAGAGGATGAAGGATAACATTTTAGCAAATAAATACACCTTTTTCTTCTTCTTGTATTACATCTTAATGTCTTAATGATACGTTAAAACTTTAAAGGTCGCGGAGTAGTTCAATTTATACCAAATAAATCAACTTCTTTCTTATTTTGTGATTTAATTTATATTTTATTTGCACTTCTGTTCTGTTGAATTCTTTACTATTAGGTAATATTTCAAAATCTAAGTTATAAAAGAGTGGAGTAGTTTCTAGGACTTCTTAACATAGAATTATTAGTTTTTGCTCAGTTTGGAATATATTGTTCAGCGAAACTTTACCAGTTATCTGATCAGGGAACAGTCCTAATCTCGGAACTTTTAAATGAACGGAATGAGTTGAACTCCTCGGGAGAAGATGAACTGATTAACTAATGTAAAAACCTTGAGGAGTGTTGATTTGGTAAATGATTTTTTTCTGTGAGGAAAGAATGGGTTTAATCAATTTTAATGGATTCATGTTTGATCGAATTCATAAATTAGACGAAAAATATTTATTGTATTTTATTAAGTTAAAACTTTGCTAGGGAAAGAAATTTCATTATATCTTAAGTTTATTTTTGATAGAAAGTGGATTAAAATTGTTTCAGTGTTTATTTTGGAAAGATAATAGTAATCTGAGTTGTCGATAGAAATTATAAATATCTTCAATAATGGATTTTGTGAAAATTTGAAGGTCTAGGATGGAGTAGGATAGATTGACTAATCTAGGTCTAGGATGGAGTATGATTGGTTGACTAGTCTAGATCTAGGATGGAGTAGGATTGCTTTAATAGTCTAGGTCTAGGTCCAGGATGGAGTAGGATTGGTTGACTAGTCTAGGTCTAGGTCTAGGATGGAGTATGATTGATTGACTGGTCTAGGTCTAGGATGGAGTATGATTGATTGACTGGTCTAGGTCTAGGATGGAGTATGAATGGTTGACTAGTCTTGGTCTAGGATGGAGTAAGATTGGTTGACTAGTCTAGGTCTAGGTCTAGGATGGAGTATGATTGGTTGACTGGTCTAGGTCTAGGATGGAGTAGGATTGGTTGACTAGTCTAGGTCTAGGATGGAGTATGATTGGTTGACTAGTCTAGGTCTAGGTCTAGGATGGAGTATGAATGGTTGACTGGGTAGACTAAGTAGAAGTGTGAAAATGAATAAAATTATTCTGAATAAATGCATGAGTGATTTCCTCTAAAAGTATGAAGGAATCTACACAGAAAAATATTATAAACCTGAATGCTTTGAGCCCCTCTTCTGCTGTTTTTCGGTTCAGGTGAGAATTGGTTATCTACAGTGATAGGCGATTTTTATCAATACAATGAAGACGATTTTTTTATTTAAGTTTTGATTGTTTCCAAGCTTTTTTCGAATTACAGGTTTACATTTACAAGTAATTGAAGAGAAGCTTTTTTAATCGACAACTTCTTTTTGTTTCCATGTTTATGTGTATCCATGCTATTAAATCAAATTTGAAATCGAAAGTAGTCTTCTTTGTAATGATATAATCTCTTACCACTGTATTCCAACAATACTTGTTTAAGTATCTACACTTTAATATGCACACCATTTTGTACAGTGGTTTAACAAGGGGAGATGATAGTTATCTACCTGTTTGCTCAGTTAGCCTTACAGTACGCTTACATCTGTTTACTACTAATGATATACTTTAGGAATTAGGCCAGAATCTCCTTTGCATTAGAACAGTACAGTTACAACTGTACAATACATATTCGGATCTTTTTCTTGTTGTGCTTTTAATACAGGGAATTGGAATAATATATTATTATATTATAATATTACAATATTATTATGGCATGCAAAAAAATTTAGATAGCTACAAAAGCAATTCAAGGGTCAAACATGGCTCTGAAAGCACCACAATATTCCGAACTGAAAACTTTACAATGAGATATCCTTAATCACGATCGCTTAATTAAAGTCAGCTGTTTACAAGCCGGCTTTTAGAGCACTTAATCAAATTTAAATTTAATCATGTTAATATCAAATTATTAAAAAACATATTTTAGGACTATTGTCTTTTAGAACGTTAGTATCAATAAACATTAATCCAAAACTTACAATCGTTCAATCGATGTTTAGTTCAAATGATATGACACCATCAAGACCAAAAATCAAAACCGGGTTTTCAAAAGTTAAAGAGTACATCTTAACATGACACGCTGATTGGTTAAATTTTTAACTTATTTATTGGATATCGAATGCATTTTAAAATAATCTTTGGTTTAGTAAAACCAGGAGTTTAAGCATTAACCTTGATATCTACCATTCTAAAGTTTTCAGCTCTGGTTAAATAAATTTAGAATTGCACACAATTAATTCAAGTGGTTTGAGTAAAAATTTGCATGGTTTTTGGGATACAAACCAAAATTGGAATTTGTGCAATATAATGAAACTAATTATCTATTACAACATTTAAAATATTTTAACCGATAAAATCTGGAAAAAAATAAACATCAGGGCAACATGAGATATTCTTGGTATCCCTGGTATCCATGTTATACCTGGTATCCCTGATATCCCTGGTATGCCTGGTATCCCTGGTATGCCTGGTATCCCTGGTATACCTGGTATCCCTGGTATACCTGGTATCCCTGGTATCCCTGGTATCCCTGGTATCCCTGGTATCCCTGGTATACCTAGTATCCCTGGTATCCCTGGTATCCCTGGTATAATCCCTGATATCCCTGGTATCCCTGATATCCCTGGTATCCCTGGTATCCCTGGTATCCCTGGTATCCCTGGTATCCCTGGTATCCCTGGTATACATGGTCTCCCTGATATCCCTAATATCCCTGGTATCCCTAGTATCCCTGCCGTTTGGTAAAACTTTAGGTTTGGGTCTTGTCAGGATTGATGAGCAATAGTTCCGGTTTGAGTTTAGTTGGGAATAAATAATTTGAAAAGTTTAATCCTTAACCTTGAAATTGGTTTAAAACTAGAAGTTGTGTTCTACTAACCCAGGGATATAATCTACCCTGGACAATAAATACAGGTGGTACACACTTCATGGTTCACTGTAATAATTAAAGATTGACCTTTGACATCTCCAATAACTCCAGGTCCTCCAGGTACTCCAGGTACTAATTTCCACTGATGGTTTAATAAACAATCCTCCTAGGATGTAAGCAAGTTCTCGACTGAGATGAAAGGATGAGTGTATCGAGCCTCGGAATGGGCCGGAGGAGGAGGAAAAATAGAGGAGGGGAATCCGCCTACAACTAAATGCCTTGTCCATAGGATGTACTGAACTAATTGTCTCCTTTACTTTTCCCGGGAAGAAAATCCTTCCTTAACCTTCAGGGGAAATATCTTTGAAACAGAATTAGTTAAAGTCAGGTTTAACAAATATAACTTTCAAAAGGTAACTCTGCTGAAAACGTTGTTATAAAACATCTTTTCGGTTTACGGTAACCCGCCTTGTCATAGTTTAACGAACAAACAACTGAAAATGCCATTTTTATTTTAGACAAATTCTGAGCCAGTTACTCGATTTTGATTTAAAAAGATAAAAGTTGGTTTGCAAAAATAAAAAGTAAATATTTCTATTATGTCAATTTTAATAAATCATTAACAATCTTTTTTATTGAATGTTAGACACAACTAGTCTTTATTTCTGATAATCAGTCAGGAATTGGTTGAGTTTAACCGAAAAAAAAGACTAATCATCTGCAAGAATATGTTGAGTTTAACCTATAATAAACCAATCATATGCAAGAATAGGTTGAGTTTAACCTATAATAAACCTATCATATGCAAGAATAGGTTGAGTTTAATCTATAATAAACCAATCATATGCAAGAATAGGTTGAGTTTAATCTACAATAAACCAATCATATGCAAGAATAGGTTGAGTTTAACTAAAAATAAACCAATCATATACAAGAATAGGTTGAGTTTATTCAAAAATAAACTAATCATAAACAAGAGTAGGTTGAGTTTAACCAAAAATAAACTAATCATAAACAAGAGTAGGTTGAGCTTAACCAAAAATAAACTAATCATAAACAAGAGTAGGTTGAGTTTACCCAAAAATAAACTAATCATATACAAGAGTAGGTTGAGTTTAACCAAAAATAAATTAATCATATACAAGAGTAGGTAGAGTATAACCAAAAATAAACTAATCATATATAAGAGTAGGTTGAGTTTAACCAAAAATAAACTAATCATATACAAGAGTAGGTTGAGTTTAACCAAAAATAAACTAATCATAGGCCAAAAAGAAACTTAACGCGCACCACAAACACTAATTTTCAAACCTCTATATATTTTAAACCGGATTGTGTAAACCTATGATCTTTTAAATTGAGACTTTTTGAGCTAACAGAGTTCACGGTTTGAAATATTAAAGTTTTTATAAATTAGAAAATTCATATTTGTGGTTAGTTATGAATATAAACAATGTTTACATAATTACAACCCTTAAAAAACCTCTTGGTATATTGAAGAAACATCTTTTCGTCCAGTTCTTTGATCTAACTTCCTTTCAATTATTTAAAATTCTATTTTTGTTTAAAAAGAACGAATTTTACGAGATGTTGTCGTTCTTCTATGAATTCAAATAGAAAAATGTTCATTAATGTCGCAATTAATTTGGTTTGGTTCTATGTGTTTCGGGCCATTCCACATTTCTCCAGTATAAGACTCGGGAAACAACCCGGAGAATAAAACTCATTTTATTCAATTTATTTTAATTAAATTCTTGCAAATCTAGTATGACAACAAATCCTTTGAGTTTCTTGACATTGCGAAGAAATTTGTTGGATCGTGTGTAGTATTAGGAGAACCTGGATTATAGGAAATGTTTATTTGTAAAACTGCAGAAGTTAATTTAGGGGAAAGTAAATAAAAAAGATGATATTCGCCAGAATAGTTTTCCATGCGGGTGATCTAGTAATCATTCCTTTATCCTGTATCCTGTATACACTATTTATAAATATTACCTGTATCCTGTATCCTGTATCCAATATCCAGAAATCTCACCTATATCCTGTATCCAATATCCCCTAATCTTACCTGTATCCTGTATCCAATATCCCAAAATTTGCCTTGTATCCTGAGTCAAATATCCAGAAATCTGGCCGGTATCCTGTATCAAATATCCCGTAATCTGACATGCATTCTGCATCCAATATTCCGTAATCTGACCTGTATCCTGTTTCCAATATCCCGTAATATGATCTGTATCTTGTATTCAATATCCCGTAATCTTACCTGTATCCTGTATTCAATATCCAGAAATCTTTCCTGTATCCTGTATCCAATATCCCGTAATTTTAATCCTGTACTTAATATCATGAAATCCATCCTGTAACCAATATCATGAAATCCATCCTGTATATAATATCATGAAATCCATCCTGTAACCAATATCATGAAATCCATTCTGTAACCAATATCATGAAATCCATCCTGTAACCAATATCATGAAATCCATCCTGTATTCAATATCATGTAATCCATCCTGTATCTAATCCCGTTAA